AAACCACGTCGGTCAACACAGTGATCGAACACTGGACTTCCAGGTTAGCGAGCCAACGTCGTACTCATTGAGCCTCTGTGGCTCCCATGCCCATATACAGAGAATATATGATGGTTAAGTGGGCATGATGCTGGTTCACTAACCAAGAGGTTTTGGGCTCGATCCCAGTGCTGGCTGTCCATATACGTCCGAACGATTAGTCACTGTCCTTATCAGGCTCTCGTCCGTCCTGTATTACTGACAAGGGGAAACCGGGCTGGAAAATCCCAGTGAACTTTCTCGACAAGCACAGGGATCGAAGCGTTACTTATCTTGTTGTTCTTGTTCTTGGATGCGACGCTCTTCGAAAAATACATGCTTGTTCCTTGGATAATTGCGCATCGATTGACGGTTCTCAAAGATTGTGGTGTCGTCATGCTCGGTACGCTGGTATTGGTTAAGTTCATAAAACTGCTTATAACAGAGCAATTCTGATAGAACACTAAAGTTATTGTAGGACATATATTTATTTGCCTGACAACCTATCTAAGGTTGCACTGAAGACCTCGCGAAGTTTTATTGGACTAATAGAAGGATTGTTGCAAAGAATATTCATGGGTTTGTTTTTTTTATAATGGTTCTGCGTGGTTTTCTTAAGTTCTATTAGGTTGATTATTTTCCAAAGCAGGATTTCTACTTTAATGTTAGTTCAAGTTACTATCCAATGAGTCATGCCAAGTTTCTATGTTATTTTAATTAACCGTAAGCTTCATTAATTTGTATAGTCAAATCAACGCAATTACCTTTACCACTAATGGAATAATTCCAGGAACCAGTTGTAAGTAGTAATTGGTCATTTATTATTTATCGTTGTGGCTATAATTGTTCTGTGGTCAAGAAAAGTTCTGAACCTGTTTAACACAGCTAAAGACCAAAGATAAGGCACGGCACTTTTGTATAAGTGTGTAATGAGAATGAGTTAAAAGCTTATCAGCTATGGACAAGAGGTTCTAAAAACGATATTTGTTCGAAATTATCAACAGATAAAGCACGATTTCTGCCGTCCTTTGCGTTTGGTTAAAATGGCCTCTGGTCACCAGGTCAATTAAGGAATTGCTGACCCCAGCCTCAGAAATAGGCTGATCAAGGTAGCTTAACCCCCGATTATAACCTAAGACAGGGAGGTAGAAATTATGCCATTTCCACAAAGCCGGCCATTTTATTGTTTTATTCGTCCATATACGATTCTTTTAAGAGCCATTTAAATAGTTTGACCGTATTATTTTATGTAAGTTAGGTCACCTGGAAGCGTTAACTGTTAAGCAGCACATTTTGAAAATAAGGGGAAGACAATTGAATAATCTACACATGCAGCATATTTGTTTGGAATTTAATTATACTTTAAGCTGCAATGCTATTGTAAATCTTCTTAAGTATATACACTGAAAGATATAATTTAATTAATATTCTAGCGTCTGGTTAGGCCACTGCTGATAATATAATAATAAATCAACCAACCTGTTTATTTTATATAATAGACGCTGCTGTAAAACTGGACAAGTAATCTCAACAAAATCAATTGATACAATAGAACATATTTAATACTGCACACATGTCAGAGTTAAAGTGTTAAGACACGGTGGGATGAAGCAATGATGTGTGGGTAAGAGTAAGCAGTGTCGAAGTCTTGCCGGGCACCCCCACATAATCAGTCGGGATTCTTAAACCAAACAGGAAACAGCCGCAGAAGGGATAAACCGAAATGAGATGAAGTGAAATGGGTTTTAACGTCCTACTGTTCTGCTCCAAACTGGGCTAATGAAGACAGGCATACGCCATACAGTGTGCTATGAGCGAAATTTTGCCCGGACAGCTGCACTACGGCCTACTCTTATATCGAATTCCAACTGTCAAGGGATCTTTTACGTGCACGCCAATGTGTACACGGGTCCTCGGTTTTTCGTCCCATCCGAACGACTAGACAGCTGTCCTTTTCATGCCCTCCGTCCTGCATCACTGACAAGGGGGAACCACGGCGGAAAATCTGGGTGAACTTTCTTGGCCAATGCAGGGATCGAACACCCGACCTACAGGCTAGCGAGCCAGCGTCTTACCCACTTAGCCACCCTGATCCCCAAGGGATAAACCAGAATATACGGGCCAGGTTATTTCCCATGATGATTTAGGACTGGCTGTTCTCGCGTGATTAGATTCGATCTTAGGCAAATCAGTATATGTATGGGTATATAAATGATTGCATGTTCTGTGATAATTGTTTTAGACGATTGATCTTCTCACATGACAGCTTAATTCCAGAACACGGTCTGTAGAGATTTTATGGTGGATTTTATTTTGAAAAAACAAATATTGAACCGTGATCTCAAAAGAAATATTTCAGCTGTGATCTGAAAAAAAAAATTCAACCATGATCTGAACAAAATTTTTGAACCGTGATCTGAAAAAAAAACCATGTCACATTATAAATTATCGAATGCATATATTCTTGGATTGAATGTTCCCCTGGGAAGATTTCTCTTTTATGATTAATGCATGATTGAACCTTTCGTCGGTATTCACACCGACACAAAAACACACAAATTCTTCTTATCAATGTCAATGTATTGCGACAAGATATATTTTGTTCAATAGGTTATGGCGTAGACTATGCAATAATTTCGCTGCCGTTACGATTCTACTTTGGTGGATGAGTTACAAGAATCCATAGGCTCTACTGTACCTTGGGATTCGTACTAGAATCTCTTCCATTTGCAGGGATAAATCTTTACTTCCAACCTCTCGGTTTATAACGAATAAAACGACACACATAATGGCCAAAAATCTGCTACATCCCACTGTGAACACTTTCTTATGAAATACAGTACATTTTGAGTTTTTATTGACCAACCTCTAGTATAAATAAAGCAACCTTGCAATCCAGGTATGTGGCCTGGAGAAGAAATGCCTTCTCTACCTCATGGGGTTATTCCGGTTTACTTCCACGGTAAAGGCGCATGCGTTGAATATAATGAAATAAGACTTTCTGCGGATTTAAACTGTACACAAAAAGAACCCGGGTATCTTCACCCAGATCTGGAGAATACATGTATTCTGTATACTACATACAAATGTTCCATTTCCTTCGTGGAGTAGCCGGGCTCGATTAAATTAAGAGATGCTCAAATTTATAATGAACCATTCTTAATACGTTAAACCATAACGGCTGTGGTGTAGGCCTACAAAATCTTAACATGATATTCAAAGAGGATCATGTCCCATATTCCTGAAGCAATGGCTCAAGAAATCTCTCTCTCTGACCATTGCTGGATTGGCTTCTGACACTTGAGTTTTTGAGGGAGTGTATCTATTCTTCCCGTTCAACAGCCCTTCGTTTAATCTGGGGTCTTCCCTAAAACTTTGGACAGTGATTTAATGTATTAAAAACGGTGAACATGTTGTTCGCCTCTACGTGTTTGTTCATATGGGTCATCGCCTATTGTTTACATTGTACGCGTTTTCGATGGTCTCGTTTGTCACACAATTAGTTTTCTACAATATTCTGCTATGCACTGGTTAGTGGAGCATAATACATTTCGTGAGTAATGACGTGACGTAATGTACACATATATGTGGAGCTCTGTTTAAACCTGAATGATTTTGTTACGCTGTAATGTATTGGTTGTTGATCCGACTGTTGACCAGTCACATTTTGGAACAGAAATTTGCGGTTATTACAGCAGTGTCTGATTTTGACAGGTCTAACCAAAGGAAACACTGCGAGGAGTATGATCATGCCCACTTTCCAGATTTCCCTCCCTCCACTTCCCCGACAAACACCTACAGCTTGGATGGGGAATTCAATAAACAGCAATGGGATTCTGAAGAATGAACAAAAGAATTGGTTTACTTAAAGCCTAACCAGATCTTTTTAAATTCCAGATTTAACTTCCTAGCAAATAACAATCAAGACATTTCCTTTCAACCCCAAGCAAGCCACTAGATGTTTAAATGTTGCCATAAAAAGTTATGTTTACAAAAATCTAGCCTTTTGAACCCGGATCTATCTTATTAACTCTTTAGGGTTTTTTTCTTTTTTGTTCAAAGAAAGATTATCTGTGAAGAAATACCAAACAGAAATTTATGGTCATCAAACACATTTTTGACGTTACAAGTTGTCATTGTTGTCTCAGTATCAGTATTTATATATTCTCAATCTTTAATGTATATTATTTTCTGTAGATCGCCGTATAGAACTTAAAATGTATTGTATTTAACAAAGTTTAACCCGTCTTAACGCTTATTTGATATTTCAAAAAGAGTCGCGTTCTTCAAAAATTTAGAATGTTTTAATTCACCAAATGCCATCTCCCTAAAGAGTTTTATTTTTTTATATGTAGGAATATTATGCCTTTATCCATGTCCGTCAGTCGGTTTGTCAACATTTGGAGATAGCGGCTACATTGGGATCATGAGCACCCGAACCCTATTGATTTTCAGTGAACTGTGGCCCCCTGTTCCGGAGTTACGCCCCCTTTTCTGAAACCCTATTGAACGCGATAGAGACGTTCCGCAACCTTCCGTTCTTATCTGACCATCCACTTAGAAACGTGAATACCATTATAGTGTAATAGGTACCAAGTAATTACTATATTCTTTTTAGGTCTACCTTGGTACACTAATCAGAGAATTTGTTAACATTTATCGTGTGACATATTTGCTTTGCCGTTGCATTACAGGGGTTGCGTGGCCTAATGCTTTAGATCACAAGGTCTGTCACTGAGTCAAATGGTGTGGTTTCGATCCCCCACTTGTACGTTACAAGGAGTAGGGTCGGGGCAAGCGAATTATTGAAATAAAAATAAACACATTAGTCCCGAAATCAAATGGTTTGTATCGAGTAGACGTAATCTCTCTCTCTCTCTCTTTTGTATAAAACAATAAAAATGAAAGGCAAATTTATTTTATTTTTGAAAAAGAGAAAATATTTACAACATTTATATACACAAGTTTATTGGATATGGACATTACACATCCTTTCCACAATCCTGTGTTGTCTTCGTGAGAGATTTTGTAGGGACACCATTTTTCTCAAATATTTGGAACACTTTCTGTTTTAAACTGTCACTTATAGTATTGTTTCGAGTAAGGATCCAAGCAAATTCTATGTGAGCTAATCCACCCAAAGACTCACAAGAAAACACTACAGTATAGGTCGTGTAATCCGTGTCCAAGACCCAGTAATGACCGTATGGAGCCGCTGAAAATAAAAGAAATGAAATGAAATGGAGTTTAACGTCCTCCTACTGTTCTGCTCCGAACTGGGCTAATGACGACGGTCATACGCCATACAGTGTGCTATGAGGGAAATTTTGCCCGAACAGCGGCACTACAGCCTACTCTTATATCGAATTCCAACTGTCAATCGGTTTTTTGTCCCATCCGAACGACTAGACAGCTGTGCTTGTCATGCCCTCCGTCTTGCATCACTGACAAGGGGGAATCACGCCGGAAAGAAAATAAAAGACAAATTATGTTTATGCCAGTGACATCACCAAAATTGTACGAGAGGCATTTTTATGAGATTAGAAGAAAAGGGTAAAAATCGCGATCGGATCAATTTCGCGTGATTTGAAATTCACCCAAAACATTATAGCACAAAAACATACAACTGGAAGTTCGAAGACCACAGACAATATGTTTACCACCATGTTTTCTCTCGGCAGCTCAAAACGTCACGTATTACATTGATTGCGCTTTAGTTAATTATCAAAGGAATCAATCAAAATTTATGACTGCAAAAATAAAATGATTGATCGCTGGAACTGAAAATAAACGATTGGTCTATGTAACTATAGAGAATAGATTTTAGAACTATTCACCATTGGAACTAAACATAAACTTACCATTTGTAAATCTAAGAGAAAGTTTTGATGCATCTGCTTTGTCTGGTATATAGGCATCACCCTCAGCAAAAACTGTTTTACCGTTACTGGAAAAAAGAGACAAATACAAATTTTCTGAGAACTCTGTCTAAAAGCTAATCTACGTAAATCGGGTTATCTAATTGTCCTTTGCGCTGACTCACAAAGCAAGATTTCCAGCATGGTTTGCCATGTCTGTGGTGTAGGAAGGATAACCCGACAAGAACAAACGTCAAGTCGTACAAAATCCTGCGTAATATATTTACAGCATCTTAATCCAAGACAGTTGGAAATTGCAATAAGAGCATGCTGTAACAAAATTCCCCCGGTTGCTGCAGAAAGGTAAGAGAGTAAATCCCATTTCATTTTATCTAAATTGTCCCTGCTTACACAAAGTATGTTGACTAAGGTCAGTCTTCAGTTACAGAAGTTACAGAAACAGACAGTAACATCATGTCCGCCATTTTTGATAGTATTATTTTGTAAATACTTACGAAAATCCTTGGTTATATACTTTAATATGTCCATCCGCTTTTATAGAGTAGTTAGCTGTTACGCATGTCTGTCCTTTTTGAAACAAGTTAGGAAGTTTATACACCTCATACCACTTTCCTAGATACTGACAGAATTTAACATATTTATTCTATAGGAATTAAACAATTATCAAGTAATATATAAGGCAAATACCAGTCGCCATTTGCATCTTTTGTGGGAAATGTCTAATACACGCTAAAATATACTCAAATTGGTTAGTAAAACATTTGGTTAAGACGCCAAACCAAAATATCATCTGTATACAGGTAATCTTCCAGGATGGATTCAGTAGGATTAGATGTTACGAGGTTTTCAATTGATCATAAATTTGTAATGGAATTGAATACTTTTACTGGTATGTCTCTTAGAAATTGAACGTTTACAATATTGTAGTTTGCAAAGCATTTACATTCCCTGAAAGGACGATCAGTAGCTTAAAAGAATTGAGCGACGTGGAGTTATTCGTTATTCGCCAATATAAAACAGCTCGTTGTTCGGGTAGAAAGACAGCTTGTTAGAATCTATTTCCCAAGACGTTGAAGTGTTATAAACCAATTAGGCTCATAAAAAAGCACCCCGCCGTATTCCCTATAAAAATGCCTTTACTATATTACTAATTCCATATCTGGTGAATAACAAACAACTCATAAAAACCCATTTCCGGGTATTCTCTATAAAAGTGCCTTTATTATATTACTTATTCCATATCTGGTGAATAACGAACAACGAACTAGCTCGTTGTTCGTTATTTCGAATACCGAACAACAATCTTGCTCGTTGTTCGTTATTCGCAAATACCGAACAACAAATTGGATCGTTGTTAGTTATCCGCCAATATGAAACAGCTCGTTGTTCGGGTAGAATGTCAGCTTGTTAGAATCTATTTCCCAAGACTTTGAAGTGTTTTAGCGTATTCCCTATAAAAGTGCCTTTATTATATTACTAATTCCATATCTGGTATAAAGCGTGCGCTGTATCATAAGGTCTGTCATTGAGTCAATTGGCGTGTTTTCGATTCCCCGGCTGTACGTGAAAAGGAGTAGGTTCGCATGTCCAACTTCTCCGGATTTTCCGGTTACCTCCCACTGTTAAAGACCCCTACGCACAAACGAATTATTGAAATAAAATTTAACCATAGGTTAGTCCCGAAATGACCCAGTTTATGTTGAGTAAACGTTACCCCGCCCCCTCTCTCTCTTTCTCTCAATATCTGGTGAATAACGAACAACAAAGTAGATGATTGTTTGTTATTCGCTAAAACTGAACAACAAACTGGTTCATTGTTCGTTATTCGCCAATATGAAACAGCTCGTTAGAATCTATTTCCAAAGACTTTGAAGTATTATAAACCAATAAGGCTCATAAAAAACACCCCCGGCGTATTCCCTATAAAATGCCTTTATTATATTACTAATTCCATATCTGGTGAATAACAAACAACAAACTAGCTCGTTATTCGCAAATACCGAGCAACAAACTGGCTCCTTGTTTGTTATTCGCGAATACCGAACAACACTTAAACTGACTCGTTGTTAATAACGAACAACGAACCACAAGCTAACTTCACGTCGCTCTGAAATTAATGGAAATTAATCGAGATTTAGTTTTCCAAGCAAAATATTTATCTCGGATCCATCCACAATACAAACTGAATAATAGGAATAGAAGACGACTATAGACTTCCATATAGACGTAGCGACTGTTGTAACTTTTCTCGGCTTACTGAGTATAACGCAGTGATTATATTAATGTAATACACTTACTCTGTCAATGTCAAAATTAGCTACCGTGTTAGAGCTTGGACATCCACCAAAACCAGGCACCTGCGCAAACGCAGATGTAAAACATGCTAAAACGACTATAATTAACCTCACCATGTCGAATGTGTCTTCTTAAGAGACGTTTTGCCAATTTGATGAATGGTGCCGACAATTCCATGTACTTATATGTCCATCTTATATAATTGTCATTCATGACACGTCATAAAAACGTGTACTTTAACCTGTATTATTTTTATCTTTAATGAAACGGACGGAATCCTAGGGCACGTGAGTGAAATCAGGTTATAATATGATAAGAGACTTTTAAAATACACATTTGAACTTCTACTAACGGTTTTCAATGAGCAATGAATGTTTCCAATTATTCCTATAACGTTTAGACAAGACGTGCTGATTTTGACCAATCAAGAGCTTCTGAAACCTGTGGAGTAAGGGTATGATGTGTTTACGAGAAAACATTCCCTTCTATTATAAAATAAACGCCCACTCGAAACAAACTATGCCATTTCCTAACTAACGTATGGTTTAATTTTATTTCAGTATTTCGCTTGCGCGTAGGGGTCTTTAGCAATGTGGGCGGGGGGAGATCGGAGGACCGGGAGAAAACCCAAGAGGTTGGACAGACGACTCTACTCCTTGCCACGTACAACCGGTGAATCGAAACCACACCACCTGACTCAATGACAAACCTTATGTTACAATGCGCACGCGTTAACCCTTCGGTCACCTAACCAGTCAACATGATTTGAAAAGAAATATATAACAACCCTTCTCTATCAAGCAGGAACAGATTAAAGACTTAGAGGTCATAAAACATATATGCAAGACCAAACGGGTCAAATTTGATCATTTGCGGTTTGTTTGTTTTTCGTCAAATCCTATCAGACGTATAGGAATGCATCTCGACCAAAACTTATTTAGTCCCCTTTTTTATCGTCAAATCCTACAATTGTTACCGAAGCTTGATCAGTTTTCATTGAACATTTCATCTTGGATGTTAACAGAAAGTCACCAAGAATTAAGACGTATAGGAATGCATCTCGCCCAAAAACTTATTTATTCTTCTGATTTAACTAATCACTGAGGTTCTAGACAATTACAGAACAGTAAGACGTTAATCCCCATTTCATTTCATTTCGGTTCTAGAACAGTTGTTGTAAAAGGTGTTTTTAGAAATTGGTTTGTTAAATGTTTCCATTTAATTTCTTCTTATCATGAACTGAAAGGCCATTTCATTGCATTTTTATATACTATTTTGATATTGTTTATACTCAGAATAAACGTCGCCTTTTCGACTCATGCACTTTTTATCAAGAAACCTTACGGAAAACATTAAACAGTTTGAAATCTACCCAATGTATTCGGGTGAAATTTTGATGGTAAACAAAGATACTTTAATTGTGTCACGGATAAAATAACGCCTAAATCCAAACAATTTTGCCAGTTCAGTTCCCCAGTTATTTCCAAGATGGTAGACATCGAAAACTTTTCATCGGTGTGAAACTGTATTTTATATCTTTCACAGGATTAAATGTGTTTATTGTCTGTATTTTATATCTTTCACATGATTAAATGTGTTTATTGTCTGTATTTTATATCTTTCACAGGATTAAATGTGTTTATTGTCTGTATTTTATATCTTTCATAGGATTAAATGTGTTTATTGTCAAAAATAATTCTGTATTATGTGCTTTTTATATTTACAAATGTATCATATTTGTTTGTATTTAACCTACATCATGATTTCGTTCTGATGTGATCATACCCAACACGTCTTGGTTAGTGACCATGGCTTTCGGGGGGGGGGGGATGGCTGAATGGTTAGCGTGCGCGCGCTGTATCATAAAGTCTGTCATTGAGTCAACTGGCGTGGTTTCGGTTCCCCGGTTATACGTGACAAGGAGTAGGGTTGCCCGTCCAACCTCGTGGGTATTCTCTGGGTCCTCCAGTTTCCTTCCACAGCTAAAGATCCCCTACGCGCAAGCGAATTGTTGAAATAAAATTGAACCATATGTTAGTCCAGAAATGAAATGACCTAGTTTGTGTCGAGTGGATGTTAACCTCCATCTCTCTCTCTCTCTCTCTCTCTTGATGCACGAAGCGTTATCGCAGAACAGATCAACGCCTTTGATATATCACTTCCCATCTAGAAAAGGGCCGTGTATTTGATTTGGTATCGATCTAGAGAAATACTCAATGTAATATAAAGATTATTCATCTTCACTTCATTATTATATATTCCCTATAGATTACAGCAAACTGTCTATTTGGCACATTCAAATGAATATTTGAATTTAAAAATGAAAGAGACATCTGGTTCCGTTCATTTATGATTTGCTAATTCGCTTAATATGTGAAATGAAATGTGATGCCATGGGGTTTAACATCCTATTTGTATCCACCGGCCAGCCCAATGACGACCAACATACGCCATACAGTGTACAATGAAGTAATGTTTCCCTTAAGTCCGGCCCACACCGCCACGACTTGCCCAGACTCTACCCAACGCAACGTCTTGTCTCAGATAATCAGTGCAGTGTGGACAGTCCCACGACCACGATTCAATCGATTTCCGTCGCGACGTTGCCCGTCGGTCCGACTGAGCATGTTCAATCGTAGTCGGATGCAGTTAGATGCATTCGTAACCCATCGTGTTTGTGTGGACACTCACACGACACGATCAATTGTCTTACTGTTGTTTAGCCAATCAGAGAGTAGCATTTAGTCATGTGACTGTGCAGGTCATGCGCTCCTTGTTTTCCCCGAAAGATTCAAGATGGCAGATTTTTCGAGCAGTCAACTTCAGCGGCATCTTGGCAAAATATAATGTCCGGTTTACTTTTGGAATCGCTCGCTAGAGGGAAGTGGCGTAACTCACGACGCATAATCTGTGAGAGTCGGGCCTGTGTGGACTGGTACCGTCGTAGGCAACTGAAGTAAAGACGCGACCCGATTTTTTTACAACTACCCAAGACGCTGAGTCCTGTCGGGTTGTGTGTAGTCGTAGCGGTATGAGTCGGGCTTTAAGCCTAGATTATGTCGCAACTAAACTGACGGCAACTGGCGACTAGCTCAAGGTAGTGGCGACTAGGGAAAACTAGTTGTCTCCAGTCGTAGGATTAGAAAATGTGCGACTCAGAACAACTGGGCGGTAACGTAGACCAGTCGTAAGAGCGCACAGGTCATCAGGCAGTTACGACTGATCAGTTCCACGCGATCTTAATCAGTCGCCGAATTTCGAGTTGCCGCCAGTTTCGTCGCGTCGTAGGGCGACATAAGCTAGGCTTTACAGTGGCGCTACGTCCTACTCTTTATTTCGAATACCACCTGTCAGGGGTTATTTTACGTGCATGCCGCCGTGTACATAGCACCTAAGTGTTTCAACTCACCCGAAGGACGAGACAATGTCCGAGACAATGTCCTTGACAAGCCACGCGCCACTGACAGGAGAGAAAACAGACTAGAAAATCCCTGGGAACTTTCTTCGCCGACACCGGGATCGAACATGGTTTATTTTACGCCCGGTTCGTCCGTTCGTTCCTGGAGTTGTACATCCCACCAAAGGTGATATTGTAGACAAATTTTACGCCCCCCACACCTAATTTGGATATATTCTTGGGCATAGGGCAGGTGGATAGGTCCACAACGATTAGTTGTTCAAACACTTGCTGCGGTTCTTAATTTAATTAGCGTAATATAATTCTACTATAGCTTCACTATTTTTAACTATTTATTGTAAACGCGTTCTATTCATGACAACCCATCGTTAGGTTGCAAATACAACTTGTTTCACTGTTATTATTATTAACACGTACCATTTATAATGTGTCGCTATCCGTGACCTGCAAGATTAGTAATTGATTCATAACTTATAAAGCAATCAATTATTTATAGCTTGTGAAACAGAATTCATATTTTATCCATCCTATTTATATTATAGTATTAATATATAGTAGTTATAGTATAGTATTAGTGGTTACCCGGGTAGCCATGAACCGGAAGTAGCATAATTCCGAGACCGGAAGTGGTAGGCCATCGATACCAAGCCTATGTTACATCCCGGTCCGAGCTACCCCTATACACCAAATTCCAACCTCGGAAACAGCCCTAGTGTAGCCGCCAACCCTGAACAGACCCACAAACAAACGACAGTCACAAATATTCGTATAGATAAATTAATATATATCGTAAGTTTAATTGTTGAATGTATTTTTGTTGAAATTCGATCGTAGTGCTAGACTGGGAACGAACGTATCACATATTTGTGAAGCATGTTTGCCTGGAAGTCTGTGGGGAAAGATTCGGGGGGCCAGATCGCTACATTATTGTGTGGTCTTATTATACGCAGTATTTGCCTTTTATTCTGGAATACTGAGATTTTCAATCCATTCTTTTATGAGAACAAAAAAAAATACAAGGTAAAATCTGTTTATTTATTTTTTTTTAAAAAAAGAAAAAGTATTTACAACATTTATATACATAAGTTTATTGAATATGTACATCATTATACATCCTTTCCACAATTATCCTGTACGGTCTTCTTGATATCAGTGGTACCAACACCATTCTTTTCAAATATTTTGAATATTTTCTGCTTTAAACTGTCACTGATAGTATTATTTCGACTAAGGATCCAAGCAAATTCCACGTGAGCTAATCCGCCTAAGGATTCGCAAGAGAAGACTGCAGAATAGTTATCGTAATCTGTGTCCAAAACCCAGTAAGGGGCATATGGAGAGTCTGAAAATAAATGGCACATTAATTTATATCATAGGGATTATAAAAAAATCAGATTTTGTAAAATAGTAGTTTAAATATAAACGATGCATTAGATCTAGCTAATCTCTTCAGTTTCAAAACTATTCCCAATAAAGATTTCAAATACAAGCCAATCTTCGTATCGGTCTAGTGATTTTGATTTTTTTTAATTCAATATGGCGGTCTTAAATGTCTTATATGAACCAAACTAGGAAAGTAAATCTAGTCTCCCGGGGATTTGGATCAATTATTACACTCTAAGCGAAGTAATCTATACTGACACCCCAAAGAAAATAAATGTCCAAAATTTGAATTTTCCAGATAGAACAATTTGTGATTTGAACTATCGATAAATAAACGATAACATTTGAACTATCGAGAAATAATTAAATATTTGTCATTTATAAACTATAACATCGTTATTCGAACTTTCGAGAAATAAACTATAACATTATTTCACACCTTGACTATCGAGAAATAAAAAAAAACATTTGAACTCACTATCTGTAAACTTAACAGTTAGTTGAGATGGTTTGGTGGTGTCTGGTAAAAAGGCATCACCTTCAGCCCAAACTGCTTCACCATTACTGGTAAAAAAGAAATGAAATGAAATGTATGGAAGCCTATAACTACCATTCATAATTTCTACTTTTCGCCTCTTCAGAACACGAAAGTCGAAAAGTAGAAGTTACGACAAAATGTGAGGCGACAAGACGGTATACAAGCCAAAATCAACTCGAAAATAAGAAATTAAGAAATAACACAGCGATAATAGCGCCCCCCGTTTTTTCTTAATTTCTACTTTTCGACTTGCATTTTGGCTTGTATACCGTCTTGTCGACTTAGTCATATTTTTGTATTTATTGATGTCAGTAAGAAGGCGCCAACACGCTATACAAGCCAAAATGCAACTCGAAAAGTAGAAATTAGGAAATTAACACACTGCGCTATTAGCGACCTATGATCTGTCGTACTGTCGACTTTTCTACTTTTCGCCTAGGAAGTTGTTGTAGTCTCTGCCTTGCAGGTCACATTTGAATACGCGCAATTCCCGTTAACAAAAATGTCTGTGTGATAGAGTCTAGTAATTATGGCGATTATTTTATTAATATCTCGATCTCTATGTTACGGAAAATTTTATGCAGCCGCCAGTAATAATATTATAAAACTTACAATCTTGGCTTGATCGAGATATTAATAAAATAATCGCCTTCATTACTAGACTCTATCACACAGACATTTTTGTTAACGGGAATTGCGCGTATTCAAATGTGACCTGCAAGGCAGAGACTACAACAACTTCCTAGGTGAAAAGTAGAAAAGTCGACACACGTTTATTTTGATTCTGTTATTTTGATGCTATGATTTTGTAAATACTTACGTAAATCCATGGTTATATACTTTAATGTGTCCATTAGCTTTCACAGAATAGTTAGCTGTTACACATGTCTGTCCACCTTCAAATAAGTTGGGCATTTTGTACAGCTCGTACCATTTTCCTAGATACTGATAGAATTAAACATAGGAATTAAATAGATCAAACCAGTATAATGCAAATGAACAAGGAATATACCTTAAAATAACATCAATAGAAAGACACCTAGATTCAACCATTCCCAAATCGTCTCTATTGTTATGTGTTCCAGTGATCTTAGCGATATTGTAAGATCCACTGCAGACTAGTTTGAAAAAAAAAATAAGCCTGTGTCAAAAACATGATACAAAATGTGGTGTGGGCTAACTCCATACTAAACCTATAATCTGTCTGTATACAGATAGCTCCGCTTGAGAACAGACACTAAGCTAGTTGACCGATATTGTAAGTCCTAAATCGACGATTTTAGTAGAAAACACTAAGTATACTTTGAGAAATTTGTATTTATTCTGCTTCCATTTAATACAATTGAAAAAGTTCATTTAGTCTTTGTGTGTATGACAGATGTGAGTAGAACCGCGTTTTCAAAATAGTATAATAATTTTTGGATATGGCGGTCATTTAGAGCAGAGGTCTATTCTCAAAGTATGAAGTATATAGATCTCTGTATGCAGAATGGGCCAACTTGACACAATATCTGAATAACCATATAATATGTATCCCAATATGTAAATTGGTAATACACATTAACTCGGGTCCATCCGTAGAGTAGATGCAATGATATAGAATAGAAGATGTCTAGACTTATAACTAAACGTAATGTGTGCTAAGTGCTGTTCCCATCGTCTTGCCTATAAGCACTGATTATATAAATATAATACACTCACTCTGTTAAGATCAAGATGAGCTAGAGGTTTAGCGTCTGGGCATCCACCAAAACCAGGCACCTGTGCTAAAGCAGAGGTAAAACATGCTAAAACAACCAGAATTAACGTCTCCATGCTTAATGTGTTCTTCTCCGCAGACTGTGACGCTTTGACAAATTAGTAGTGTAGACTATTTCGTTATTTATATGTTAACTTATATAATTGTCATTCACGACACGTGTAGTTTTGTCTGATTCTGATAAGACACTGTTCTGTACTGTTCTTTATCTTGAAAGGACTCAATCATAGCGCTCGTGGTTTACCAAGGTGAAACTATGATTACAACGATGACAAGCGAATTCCAAATGTTCATAAAAATGGTTAATGGACAATGAACGACATTTCCAACTATTTATATCATTGAACTAATTTCTATAATGACTAGGTGTGCATTCTTTGCATATCTTCCGTAATTGGTATAAATACAAATATGGGATACGTTTTAATCAAAACTGGAAATATCAGACCGCGTGTCCTATAGGTAAGCTCGAAGTCCTAATCAAATTCGTAGAATGAAAAGTAGGACGTTAAACCAGGTTTCATTTCCATTTCATTTCGAATGATACAATACTTACCAATTATTAAGAAGTTCATCTGATGTCTTAGGCAGATTTTTTTTATGCATACTTACTGAGCCTCTTCTGAGCACCGAGAGCTGACCACTATACTCGGGTCCATATCATCGTTTTCGATCATATTTATTGTTTTTAGGTTTGATTTAAAAGCATAAATAAATTATTCTGTTTTTGAAAAGGGTTTTCTTATTTTTTGTTTGATCAGTGGGGTTTATTTTCTTTTTTTCTTTTTTTTTTACTATTTTCTCTGAATTAGATGTATATACATGAATCTGGGTATAGTTTGCATAATTGTGGCAGACTGTTTTTATAAATTCCTCGTTATTTTATATGTCTCTATCATGTCACCAGGCGTGTTGGGAGTTTCAGCTTTCTAAGATATTCTTCATATGCCGGAGGATATGGCAAGGGACAATGCATCATCGTTCGGATGGAAAGAAAAACTGAGATCCCGTGTACACATTGGCTTGCACATAAAAGAACCCTTGAACGTTGGAATTAGATATAAGAGTAAACCTAACGTTGCTGTCCGGGCAAAATATTACCTGTAACACACTGCATGGCGTAGCCGGGGCAGAAAAGCAGGACGTTAAACCCCGTTTCATTTTATTTATTCATAACCCATGTCTTTATATTCTGAAACAAGCTTCGTAGCTCTAATCTGCACGTTTTCTAATGCTGTAGTAATGTGTTTGAAGTTTCTATGGGTTCCATATCGGATTTGGGTGTTCTCCGTGTTGACTGATTTATACTTTGTAGGAAAGGTATTCTAGAAGATTAGGCAAATCAAACATACTTATCTGTGTGCAAAATGCGTTACATAAACATTAATTGTTTGGTTTGTGTGTCCCTATCTTGTGTATTGGCCGTTTCTTATTAAACCAAATTAGGCAATAAAATGGTTTGGGGTTGTTTTCTTTTTCTTTAAAAAAAAAAGGCCGAGAACACAGAATACAACAGCTGGTCTGATAATTGTAGCATCAAAGATAAGACAGATCGCCCCCGTTAGTAACTTGTTAAATAAAAACTTTCGGTACACAAACGCTATGTTTGACGTTCGCTTTTAACCCATATGTGTCGAAACTGGTTCGAATAGGTGAGTGTCCAGAGTAATGTAAGCATTTCAAAGGAGATAAATCTTTAGTCTCTGGAACACTCACTGGACGAACATTGGTTCAAAAGCAATGAGAGTATATAAGCCGATTTATATTCACTTTTAAAGTCCTTTATTAGAATTTCTAATCAGTTTTGTTCGTCAAAATACGCGAGCAGTCGAAATTGAATGACGGTCTCTTGCGTCTGGATTAGGCCAGTCTACATTGGTAGTGGTGGTCACCCGAGGGTACGGGTCTGTTGTCAACGTTTGACAAAAAGTTCCATTGTACATGCGTAACTGGGGGGGGGGGGGTCATTTTTTATGTCGTTGGTTATCCAGTAAATCCAGTCATTTAAGAGTTGCGCTCCTTACGGAAATAAATCCCTAATTCATGCATTATTATAAACAATCGCCACACGATGGAATGAATGAATGAAATGGAGTTTAACGTCTTACTGTTCTGCTCCTAACCTGGGCTAATGAAGACGGGCATACGCCATACAGTGTGCTATGAGGGAGATTTTGCCCGGACAGCGGCACTACGGCCTACTCTTATATCGAATTCCAACTGCCAAGGGATCTTTTACGTGCACGCCAATGTGTACACGGGGCCTCGGTTTTTCGTCCTATCCGAACGACTAGACAGCTTTCCTTGTCAGCCCCCTCCGTCCTGCACCAGTGACAAGGGAGAACCACGCCGGAAAATCTGGATGAACTTTCTCGGCTAATGCAGGGATCGAACACCCGACCTCCAGGCTAGCGAGCTAGCGTCTTACCCACTTAGCCACGTGATCCCCCCACACGATGGACTAGGATTAATTGAAAAAACATAGATATTGTTCATGAAGATAGAAATTTTACAATACAAAAAATTAAGGATATTGAACTCGCAATGCTTATATGAAGTAAATTTATATATGCTTTTAGCTTGTTTTTGTATCATATCTTTAAATCTGTAATGTATTATATATTTTATGAATAAATATTGTTTAAACCAACTGTCAATGCAAATGGATTCTTTGACTTTGCAAAAGACCGGATAATCTAGCCAATGATCTATTATTCGTAAATGTTGACAACCCATCCAGACTAATATAAATTCTTAAAATATTTGTTTGAATGATAGCGACTACTACATTGGAAGTACAGTTTGACATGTGCTAACGTTTTTACAGTCGAGATTGCTCTTCGGCATTTATTATAATATTAATTATAAACAATAATTATTAAGACGTCATTACGCCATGGTTACATTTAGAATATACAGAGGACTGCATGGCAACACATTTGGGCGTTAAAGGGGTTAAATCTCTTAGATTTAAGTCAAAATAAAGTACTGGGTATGGTGGATCTGGTGTTTTATTATATCGATTAGTTATTAGATTGAAAATATTGTTTCGAATGGCTGCCCGGGCAAACTTTCCCTCATAGCACACTGTATGGCGGATCGGGTGTGTTATTATATCGATTAGTTATTATATTGAAAATATTGTTTCGAATGGCTGCCCGGGCAAAATTTCCCTCATAGCATACTGTATGGCGTATGCCCGTCTTCATTAGCCCAGTATAGGAGCAGAACAGTAGGACGTTAAACCCCATTTCATTTCATGTTTCGAATGATTAGGCTGAAGCCTGTTTGTTAATGCAACAACAAGTCCCCCGCATATCCCCTCCACATCTCCCCATCAAAACAAACTTCTGATTTTATTTCTTATTTATTTTACGTGAGGTTATTAAGTACATATCTTTTTTTTTTTAATTTTTTTTCAAGAATTATACCGAGTGAAAAGTGATTCCATATGATATGACTTACATGTACATATGTTACTCATAGTACTAGATGACCGTCACCAATGCCCTTTGCTTAAACCGAATTTAACAAGCCAACTGCAGTGAGGATGATGTCCCGCACCGAAATCCCAAAATAAAGAGATGACACGTATTGATTATTTGCACATTTATCTTTTCAAAAGTATTGTGCAATCAAACTGATTATCTATATTTAGTCTAAGCATAAAATGTTCACGATCAAACTCAGTCAAGGTTTAGAAGTACCTGGTAGTAAAACTATGCACCGAGTTTCATCACTTTCCATCAGTTAGAATCAAAGTTATCTTGTCCCAAAGCATTGAGCAATGAAATTTCGTAACTCTGCTTATAGCTCTAGTGGGAAATGTTAATGATTGAACTCATTTAAAACATTCACCTAATGAACATTTACATCAAGTTTAAACATTAGATAACCCTTAGATGGTATTACTCCAAAGCCACAAACGGTTTAGAACTATATATACTCGTAGGTAGGGGGGTGGCTATGGAACCAATTATGTATGGTTAGTTCGACCTAATTAGAGAGGGTTTGGACATGGAATTAAAACGGAAAGAAACATAGAACCGTTATAATGGCTTAAGAAAAATTTCGTCTGGAAACCAGACTATCCGTCAATCAAATATTGATGTGCGTCATATTATGCTTTTAATAACCATCCCAGCGTTACACTACTTTCGCATTTTTCTTTCTGTTGCCTCTTAAAGTTGTCCACCGAGAGCACTTACTTAAGACAGCGCCAATCTTTACCATATACAGAAAATGAAACTATAGTAATAATAGGGGGAAATTCCAGACGGAAGATATAACTCATGAACTAAGGGTAACCTGAGTGTGCTTTTATGATAATATTCCCATACTATATTATTTTATACGGTTACTTTTCTTTAATAACGGAACTACCATATGGAGAGAATGCCATTTCCCATTTGGCACTATTCTTAACCACATTAATGAAATCTGTTGTCTATCAGTTTACGGCAAGTTGCTACATTCACTCATGGAAGGCAAAATAGGTAATGAAATGAATACACAAAATAATCCCGCGGTGATGGCTGAATGAGAGGTTGGCATCACAATAATCAAATTATCATTCGCTTAACAAGTGTACCTCGCCCTTTTTATTGAATTGTGTCCTTTTACTCGCCATCTTTTCATTTCGCAGATGTTTATTACGGGATCACGCTGTACATGGTGCGTGATTGGATAAAATGACCCCTTAACCCCATGACCTATAAATAAGGCGCCATCTGAAAGCAACCCTAGTGTTACCGGAAACCAGTTGAATTAAGTTATGGTAGTTGATATGTAAGGCGTGATCAATGGAAATTAGATATTAACATTTGGCTTATTTCCTATAGAACTCTCAGCACGAACTAAATCATCATTGATTTGGTACCGTACCACAATACGTTCAGTATCATTTCCGATCCATTTCAACCGCTGTTTCTCATTGTTGATGAACTCTTATTAGAACATACAATGAAGAAATATTATATAGCCGTATGGTTGGAATAACTATCAAGAATTGCACTGACATTAATGACAGGAAATAGGTTAAACAAAGTCGGCGGCGTTATTTACATAGTTAGGGTTTAAAGAGAGTCTCGACACAAAAAGTATTGGGTAACTGAATGAGCATAGTTAGGGTTTAAACAGAGTCTGTACACCATGCAATATTCGATTTAAGACATATTTAATGCATAACTGAATGGGTATAATTTAGAAGAAGGTGTGTGCCTTACTGTCCATTATTGCCCGCCATCGCCGCTAGGGCTTCGATCGTCCAGTAACTAAATGGACATTGCTCTCAATCGTTTCCAGGGCTAGTGCCTTAATCATACACATGGCCCTGAAGGCATTTTATACGATGGCATAATTTTTTTCGGACTTTGTTCTTTATGTCCTATGTAGCAGTAATACAAATGAAATAGCGATTAACGTGCCACTTTTCTGCTTCAACTGGGCTAATAAAGACGGCCAGACGCCATGCAATGTTCTGTGAGGGACATGTTACCGGGAAGCAGCAATACAGTAAAGCCTTTGTTGTCGAGAGGAAATGAGGTTTGAACGCGGTATCTTATTTTAATGTTTTATGTTCAGAACTGATTTGCAGCTATCAGTGTGTCAGTAAAAGAGATATATGGATAAAATAGGAAACATTGGTCATGTCAGATATATCGTGTTCCAGGGATATAAGTGGAAATAAAGACTTAATGACGCGTTCTAGATTATTACATCTATATATAGTTCGATAAGCAGTTTATGCCTGATGACTGACATATCTAAGTGGGGAAATTAAGCACTGTGTTGATTTCTATGGTGTGGTATGGACTCTGTGTAGTCAGGTGGGTTATGAAAGAATTGTAGCATAACTACGAAAACAGGGAAACGATGGGCGGTGGGTTAACGTTCATTCGACACAAACTAGGTCATTTCGGGACTAACATATGCTTCAATTTATTTCAATAATAAGCATGCGTGTAGGGGTTTTTTGCTTTGGGAGGAAACCGGAGGACCCAGAGAAACCCACACGGTTTGATAGGCGACCCTGCCCCTTGTTACGAACAAGTGTGGGCTCGAAACCTCTTCACCTGATTCAATGACAGACCATATGATCCAAAGCGCACACGTTAGAGCATTATATCTACTGAAAGATAATCGGTTTCAGACGAGTTGTTTACCCCTGAGTTAGAAATCGGAAACAGACCATTTATTCAATAATCTCACTTACGAACATGGACGTAACAGACTTTAGACATATACTTAGTCATAGCTTGATGCTATATTTGAAATATTTTCCACGTTACGGGCGCCTGTGTGCCGAACTACTTTTGCCAATACAGTTTTTGTAGGCATGACAGATGGATTGTGCAAAATTTACCTTGAAACAATTTCAAGTTAAAATGGGACAAACGCCGTGCATACATACATTTGTCACCGGAATAAAACTTGCTTTTCAATTAAAAAGTAGAGGGAACATTGCTGATATTTCCTGTAACGATAAGACTCTTTGAGAACTGATTACAACAAAATCAGAAAGGTTTGATACAAAAAACGAAAAATCAGTTATTACACTTCATGATGTGTAGTAGTGCGAGTTCCGACAGCCAAATAAATAAATACATATAATGTCATCTTATTATTATACTGTCTCCGCAACATGGGTTACAAATCGTAATTCGGTCAACACAGCCAAATAAAATAAAAAATTTCGACCTAATTCTTAGGCGTTCTTAATGACGTCATTTTAGTCTTTCTGCTCACTATTCTAGTCTATATTTCTATGAGTAGAAAGACTAAAATGACGCCACAGATTGTTTATTGACGGAAAGTTACGACTACCCACGGAGAACGGCGGAAATTACTAACGTTGAAATTTTCCTGTTGCAGGTAATATTGACATTTGGGTGTCGTGTTATACTTATTGAAAGGATATGTTGACATAATTACTTGCATTATTTTAACGAAAAACCGAGACCCTCGTACACATTGGAGTGCACATAAAAGAACCACTGAAATGTGGTTTAGCGTGTTACATTTCTGCACTAACCTGGCTAATAGTGCCCACGCCAGGCAGTGCTATGAGGGAAATGGTTTAGCGCGTGCGCCATAGATTATAAGGTCTGGCATTGAGTCAAGTGGTCTGGTTTCGATTCTCCGCTTGTGCGTAACAAGGAGTAGTGGCTTATGTCCAACCTCTTGGGTTTTCTCCGGGCGTCCCAGTTTTTTTTCCACTGCTAAAGCCCGACACGCGCAATCGAGTTATTGAAATAAATGCCCTAGTTTGTGTCGAGTGAACGATGAGCCCCCCCCCCCACTCTCTCTCTCTCTCTCTCTCTCTCCCTTGAGGTATTAGAATTGTGTTACATATAGATATCACGTGTTGTTATATAACCCGTGACCGTGTCTTGCACGTGTTTTCAAGTCGATTAAATATACTGATAAACATGTATGTCCCTTCCTTTCTTATCATACAAGATAGGGTTGGTCAACTTCTAGAAATAAGAGAAATATATTTGGTGATAAATTTATTAAAATGGAAAGGTTAGCTGTGTTGCTTTGTTTGTTTGCAGTGTTGTCGACAGCTCAGAAGACCGCGTTTGGTCCTTGCCCAGATGCCCTGCCACTCAGCAGTCTAGATATAAATAGAGTAAGCTCTGTTATTAATTTTATTTTATTATCTGTACTTTAATGTGGGTTCGTCTTGAATACATTTCATAACATAGTTGTAATAGTTAACGTCCCTATAGTTAGTTGCCTAAAGTTAGCGCCACGGGAGTGATGGAGACGAAGTGTCTGCTGTCCGATTGGAACCGCTTGCCCATTCACAGGGACTTTCTTCGATTTTCAGCCACTTTGCCACCCTAAAATACATGTTACCAATCCAGAAAATGACCCACATGTACATATGTTTTTATATAGGCTACATTTCACATGGATTCACGATACTACCGCACACACACACTCCTTTTTCCGACGCTGCCAGTGTCTCTTTAACACCATGTTACTGAAGCAACGACCGCGAGTTTTACAACATCAAAACGTTGCTACACATCTTTGCAATTTCCAAACTTATAGCTACCTTATCTCCCTGTACCGAAGACACGCGAACAGTAGCTACCAATCAGTGGTTGTGACACAAACACACCCAGATCAACCATGGCGACCCCCAAGGAAGCCTTGACATTGAACGAACCTTGAACTTTGCAACTCGGTTATCAAAGGTAGACATTTTAGCTGGAAAGCGCGAGACTTGGTATTCGCGATGATCGAGGAATCTGATAGGCTTTTTCAATCTGGGTCAGTAGCCAATCGGAACAAGTGCCGAAATATGCGGGGTATTACGTGAAGGGCTTGATAAGATGTACGGAGTTCAAGCGAGATCAAGCCTTCTATTGAAAATGCTTTAGCACGAGATATCGGTTTTTTGTTTTGTTTTTGTTGTTTTTTTGGTTTTTTTTGTTGTTTTTTTTTTTGGGGGGGGGGGGTAGTGCATTTGTCAATAATTCATTGTTCGTCATTAAATCAGACGAAGGTTGTATACTCTAGCTATAGGATTGTAGTATGTCCGGAAAAGGCCAGAGGCTAACACAGCAAATAAGTTTGAATGACGCAAGTTGATAATCCTAACCAATCAGAAACTTGTTCTGACATTCAACTATGTCACGGGACCAACTGAATTATTTTATTGGATAATGCATTGGTGTCATATCAAAGAATGATAATCGGATCATTTCCAACTGTAATTTATGCCTATGTTGAATTTAGACAGCGATGATCCGGGTGGGCTATAACTAATACCGTATAGAAAATGTACTGTTAGGTTTATTGGCTTTTATCTTTGGAAACAACACATTAATTAGTGGATATCTATTGTATAATAATACTTTGATGTTTAAATTTCATATGATTAATTGCCAGTCAATGAAATGAGAATGTAATCCCATGATACGAATAAGTAACATCTGTAATTCATATTCAATTTGAATTTTGTGTACATTTAAGTTTTATTTATCTAAATTGTGTTTCTGAGTCAAATACAGACGATAGGTTTATGAAGATATCTAGTTCTTGCATTGTTTTGTTCGTTCATACACATGCATTATAAATACGGTGCATTGGATAGGGTATGGATCCTAATGTTTTGGGGGTTTTTTTTAACACTAATAGAACTTCGATTATAGGACTTCTACGTTTTGCAAATCTGTGGAAGTGATGCCCTGACGAACATTTATTTATTTAATCAAAGAATTAAATTGATAATAATAAAACTAACCCGTTTAACTCAACCAAGTATATCAACAATACCATCCTATTCAGCAGATTTTTTTGTAACTTTAGTTTGGTCTTATGTACAAAAATTTACACTTCTTGTTTGTTTTTACAGTATTTAGGAAAATGGCATGAAATTTACAAAATTCCAAACTTTTTCGAGGAAGATCAATCGTGCATTACCGCTAATTATTCCCTGGAGGCTGGGGGACATATTAAAGTTTTTAACCAGGGAGTGACGTAAGTACTTCTGGAAATGAAGGGAAATTAATCATCCTATACCTTTGTGCGCCAACCAGTCTAATGAAGAAGACGAACATACGTCATGCAGTAAGAAATGAAATGAAATAAAATGCGGTTTAACGTCCTACCGTTCGTCTTCGACTGGGCTAATGAAGACGGGCATACACCATACAGTGTGCTATGAGGGAAATTTTGCCCTGACAGTGGCGCTACGGACTACTCATATGTCGAATTCCAACTGCCAATGGATCTTTTACATGTACATGTACGTCAATATGTACACAGGACGAGCGACTAGACAGCTGTCCTCGTCAAGCTCTCCGCCCTGTACCACTGACAAGCGGAAACCACGCCGGAAAATCACGACGAACTCTCGGCTAACACCGGAACAGAACGCGCGACCTCCAGGCTAGCGAACCAGCGTTTTATTCGCTTAGCCAAAGTGGCTCCCATGCAGTAAGGAAAAATGTCTCCACCGCGAGGTTTTCCGCCTGCTCTTCGACGAATTTCGCCTTTCAGGGGTGCTTTTACTTGCAATCAAACGTGTACGCGGGATCTCGGTTTTTTATAACATACGAAGGACTAGACACTGTTCCTTGCTATGGTCTCCTTCCTTATATATTACACCTCTGATAATCCCGAAGATCTTTCTGTGTAAACACGGCGATCGAACACGGGACAACCTCGGTTTTGCATTCCATCCAAACGACTAGACACCGTTCCCTGCCAGGTCTTCCTTCCCTATTATTTCACCACTGATAATCCCGAAGACCTTTCTCAGTAAACACGGTGATCGAACCCGGGACAACCTCGGTTTTGCATTCCATCCGAACGACTAGACACCGTTCCCTGCTAGGCCTTCTACACCACTGATAATCCCGAAGAACTTTCTCAGTAAACACGGGGAACGAACCTGGCACAACCTCATTAGTGAACCAGCCGAACGGTTAGCACGTACACGCTGTATCATAAGGCCTGTCAATGAGTCAACTGGCGTGGTTTCCATTCCCCGCGTTGTACGTGACAAGGAGTAGAGTTGCCTGTCCAATCTCGTGAGTTTTTTCTCCCCACTGCTAAAGACCCCTACGCGCAAGCGAATTATTGAAATAAAATTGAACCATATGTTAGTCCCAAAATGACCTTATTTGTGTCGAGTGGACGTTAAACTATCTGTTGAGTTTAGCTGTCCAATGCATGTCAGAACCCCCCCCCCCCTCTCTCTCTCTCTCTCTCTCTCTCTCTCACACTACCTAATTATTAAAACAAAACACAAAACTGTTGAGTTTAGTTGTCCAATGCTTGTCAGAAAACCCAGTTGCATCAGATTTTCAAGCATTCTCTCGAGAAATCGACAGTATACAACCAGTATTATGTAATTGTTAATATTTATTAATACTAATATTTAATGAAAATCTGGATTCATTAGATACAGTTATATGAAAGTTTAACCGAAATTTGTAATAATAATTATGTAATATCACAGAAGTTTAAAGTCCCGCTTCCACAACTTCAGCAACGTCAAAATCGATTTGTAATGTCAATTTAAAATCTAAGTTGTCGAATAAAAATCAACGGTTCATTTTCTAATGAAGTGTAAAATAAGGAGTTTAACGACCTACTTGTAACCAACCAAGATAATGAAGACGGGTGGCCATTTTGAACACATATTGATGATGAAATAGATCTTATTTAATTTTTGATTTCTCCAATAATTCAGTATTCAACTGTTAAGACTAACCGGATGTTATCTGCTGTTAGGGGTCTAGCATAATGGTTCGTACTGATAAAATGTGTTATGATCCGCCTTAAAGAAAGTACTTGTTTATAAGAATAGAGCACATTTTGCTAGATATAGCTGCGTAAAGCCGATGCCTTGTTTCTAGAGGCTGAGGGGGACTTGTTAGGTCGTCATTAGCCCTGGTACCAAATGAATTTTAAAAAGATGATAATTATTCGTGTGTTTCTTGTGGATTAGATACTTGAATCGGACCTTTAATATCTCAAATTACAAAAAAAAACATGTATAATCAATTAAATATGGTGTAATTCAATAAATAATTCATCAAATTCCCTATAGAAACTATACATCTTAATATGTTACCTAATAACAGATGTGAATTCCTTGTCTGTATCGAAGAAACTTAATATGCAGATCGGTTTTGATTTTGTTCAGAGAGTTTTAAGTGGCGGGGGTCGGAGGATTTGAGCATGAACTCATACGTACTTATATTCTATAGATATTTTACTGTGCATTAAGAAGATAAATTACCAATTTATATTAAGGAGTTTTCGATAAATCTACACTTTTTTATATTTTGCTGTTGTTTCTTTCTGGCCTCCTGTACTTACAGGAGGATCACGTGGTTAAGTGGGTAAGACGCTGGCTCGCTAGCCTGGAGGTCATCCAGATTTTCCCGCGTGGTTTCCCCTTGTCAGTGATGCAGGACATATTGGCGTGCACGTAAAAGATCCCTTGGCAGTTGGAATTCGATATAAGAGTAGGCCGTAGCGCCGCGGCGCGGGCAAGATTTCCCTCATAGCACACTGTATGGCGTATGCCCGTCTTCATTAGCCCAGTCGGGGCCGAACAGTAGGACGTTAAACCCCATTTTCAGGGCAAAATTTCCCTCATAGCACACTGTGTGGTGTATGCCCGTCTTCATTAGCCCAGTTTAGGAGCAGAACAGTAGGACGTTAAACCCCATTTCATTTCATTTCAGTTACTTGCATTAAAGATGTTTCGCCCAAGAGTGTTTGAGTTTGGGCCCATGTAAAGGTCTCTATATTACTAGTATTTATTTATATAAAATATGAAAATTATGTTATACAATAACTTTGTAAAATAGCGATTTGAATAATAATTTAATTTGAATATAACAAATATTATTTTTTAATTACAGGAATGGCCAACCCGTTTCAAAAACTGGTGACGCTTATGTGCCTGATCCGTCCGATCCAGCAAAATTAATGGTTAAATTTTCAGAGGGTGAGTATCGATTACTTATGAGTAATTAAATTCCAGTGGTTACTCTTTTCCCGTGCTTCAAAAAAGCCATATCGAAACAAGGTGCATTGTATTTTATCTTTCATAACGGACAATTGTTGGTTAAAGTTATAATTACCGGATTAATTAGATGACGTACTTAAATAGGAATCGTTTATCTGGTTTCAAGTCTTATATAAATTACTATTTAGGCATTAATTCACATGACAGGCCTAAAATCAATTCTCTGTTAGAATTAAATAATTAAATAAACTGGATAATGGAGACTTAGGCATAACTTCGCCTAGAATAAAAGAGAGGGAGAAATTGGGTTTAACGTCCACTCGACACAAACTGGGTCATTTCGGGACTAAAACATGATTCAATTTTTATTTCAACAATTCGCATGCACGTATTGGTCTTTAGCAGTGGGAGGAAATCGGAGGACCGGGAGAAAACCCACGAGGTTGGACAGGCGACCCTACTCCCTGCCACGTACAACGGGGGAATCGAAACCACGCCAGTTGACTCAATGGCAGCCCAGAATAAAGCCATTTGAATGAAATCTTCACCCTAATCCTTTTTCATTATCTAATTTAAAGTGAACTATTATAAGAAAACGACCATCTCTTTATTTATAAACCTTACATACTTTAGAAGCCGATTGTAAAAAATAATCAATTGTAGGTACAGATATTTTAATTCTAAAATAATAATACTTGGAATCCCAAAAATTTAAAATTGCTTACCGGTCGTGGTGGTTTTCTGAGTTTTCATATCATATTGTTTACTCATTTTTTTCAGATTCTCCCTATGCACCTTACTGGGTATTGGATACGAACTACATGAACTATACTGTTGTATTTTCTTGTGAATCTTTTGGCAAAATCGCACATGTCCAATTTGCCTGGATTTTAAGCCGGAATATCACGATCACCGAATCTTTGGACCAGAAATTATTTCAGATTTTAGAAAATAATGGCGTACCAACATCGTATTTAAAAAAAACAGACCAAAGCAATTGTACAAGTTTAAAGAAATAAAATGCATTTATCTCACTTTCATCATGATTTATTTATTAAAAAATCGAAGATTGATAATTCCTTTATTTTTTCTTGCACTCAAAATGAAATGGGGTTTAACGTCCTACTGTTCTGCTCCTAAACTGGGCTAATGAAGACGGGCATACGCCATACAGTGTGCTATGAGGGAAATTTTGCCAGGGCAGCGGCGCTACGGCCTATTCTTATTTCGAATTTCAACTGCCAAGGGATCTTTTACGTGCACGCCAATATGTACACGGGACCTCGGTTTTTTAGTCCCATCCGAACGACTAGACAGCTAACCTTGTCAGGCCCTCACGGACAAGGGGAAACCACACCTGAAAATCTGGATGAACTTTCTCGGCCAATGCAGGGATCGAACACCCGACCTCCAGGCTAACGATCCAGCCTCTTACCCACTTAGACACGTGATCCCCTCTTGCACTCAAAATAACTTACCCATCACAGTTTCCCCGTCGAGTGAACCGACGGGTGACCTAAGGTAAGGATCACCCGTCAAATACGCTTGAGGCAAACATCAGGTGCGCGCGTGTCTGGTATTGCCACAATACACCTTTAATTTCCTCAATAACTGTAATGTTGCTGTTCTTAGTGTTTAACGTCCGATTCCACTAATGGTGATATCGCAGACAAGTTATCATATTTTCATTTTTATCATCTTCGCGAACGGGTCTTTCCTGGAGGAGGAAACGGGGTTACCCGGAGTAAACCCACGACTGCAAGCCAGCGGTGATCGGCAAGCTAGAGCTCTGGGCGCTGACCGGATCTAACGTTTTTCATAAATTTTCGTTGGATCTAAGGCTTTCTACCACTGGGGCAATACGCTCAAAAGCATGCGGTCACCCTGAAAATCTTGAAATAAACAAACTGGAAATAGCATACTTGTAACCAAATAACTATCGGCCCAAATCAACGTAACCAACCTCTTAACCCCTTTATCCTTCCGCCTCAGAAAACTGTTTATTCATACCTTTTTTTTCGATTCTACAATAAAATCCGCCATGAAAAAGTTGGATGTGGGTGGAGGGGACAGTTTTAGCGAAAGACTATAATTCATGGCTAAATAGCTAGGCAATTAAAAATGCATTATGCAAGAGCTAAATCTGCCCATTGCAATTCTTGCTTTAGGCCTGAAATGATATCTAAATTATTACATAATTAGTCATTAATTAACTTTATCCAGACCAAAATCAACTCTTGATGCCATCGCTAGCCTGCGATATTTAGCCTGAAGGATAATTAAACGTAAAATTGGATAATCGATACTTTGGGTTTTTTTTATCTTACCGACATTATCCTAAAATTCAAAACCTAATATCTCGGTTCAGAGTGAAGCAATTTGACTGAAATTTTCAGCATATTCTATTTACGTCGTATTTTTAACTATTATAGCGAGAACTGTCAACTCTTTATCTAATCTTCCATGATGCCCCTTTAATGGTGACCTGTGTTCAGAGTTTAGAATTAGTGAGAATAATAAAGAGTTATCACGAAGATAAAGAACCAGTACACAATATACAGTATGTTCTTGGTGCGTTTCCACATAACATCTCTATACAAAAAAACGAACGGGGTTTACCTTTTATTTGGGTGTTCGTTATAGGGAAGCAAAAATAGCTGCATTATATCAATTATGATATCGCAGAATTAATTAATTGGCTATTTTTTAATACAAAATAAATAGCAGCATTATTATTATTATTTTTTTTTTTTATGTAAAAAAAGGCTATTATGAAGTTATTTTAAGATTTATAAGTTCAACCGTTTTGTTGTATATGGCGAAACCACAAACAAACTTCCTCACACATAAATAAATAAAAATTGTTTACATCATTCTCATATACAATGTACATTGAATCATAAGGTAGCTGTCTGATCTTTCTTGAACGTCTGACAAGGGATGTGTTATGTACAAGCAAATGGGCCTTTGGTTTTCGTCCCATCCGAACGACTAGACAGCTATTTTTGTAATACCCACCATTCTGCGCCACTGACAAGGGGAAACCGCGCAGGAAAATCCCGAAGAACTTTCTAGGCCAACACCGGGATCGAATCCGCGACTTCCGGGCTTTCAGGCCAGCGTCTTATTCGCTTAGCCACCGTGGCTCCATACAGTAACCGCTGTTGATTAAAGACTGATTTTAATGCAGTAATTTTCCCCTGTGAACTAAGAACCGTTCAAACGGCAAAAGTCTGTGTAATTCACATTCAATAATGTCTTTAATTGGGTGTAAATAATAATTATCCCATGAACTCTCTCGCCTTTTGGTCATTATATAGCACAAGAATTTAAGATAATTTGCGAAAGATTGCTGCTTAGATTTTTAACGTACATGACATAACGACAGTGATCGATGTTAATGGCTTTTAAAATTATTCTACATATAAAAGAAAGGTTGAAGACTTAAAAGCTGATCATTCATGTGTATTCATTTTTTTATGTTGTATTACATTAGAGTATCTGTATATTAAAGTTGACATTACTTTGAAGAAAATGTGACAGTCATTCTGCACACAGATAACTATGTGCTTCGAGATTTGATATCTGCCATGATTGGCCGCCTTATCCAAAAATTATTATTCTATTTTCAATTTTATTAAATGGATGAAATAAATACTTCTCAAAATTCTCGAAGTATATTTATTGTGTTCGACTAAAATCGTCCATTTAGGAATTAAAACGTCAGTGTCGGTTCTCAAGCGGGGCCAATCTCAGAAGGTCAGACTGAATGCAGTCTCCGGGACACTGGTCGTCCGTCAAGCGGTAGGACAATGGTCTCATGACTAGAATGTTTTGGTTCGGGTTAAGTAAACCTCCTGATCTGATATGTTGAACATGTCTGAGCTAGAATTGAATTGAATTGTGGTTTAACGTCCAACTGTCTAGTCCTTCGAATGATACGAAAAACCGAGGTCCCGTGTATACATTGGAATGCACGTAAAAGATCCCTTGGCAGTAGACGATAGTGCCGCTGCCCGGGCAAAGTTTCCCTCATAGCACACTGTATGGCGTATGCCCGTCTTCATTAGCCCATTATAGGAGCAGAACAGTTGTACGTTAAACCCCATTTCATTTCATTTCCAACTGTTCTGCACCGAATGGGCTGACGAAGACGGATATACACCGTACAGTAAGATACGAGGGATATTTTGCCCGAACAACGGCGCTACGGCCAACTCTTATAATTGAATTCTAACTGTTAAGTGTTCTTTTACTTCCATGCCCATGGGGTCTAGGTTTTTCGTCCCAACCGAACTACTGGATGGTGCTCCCTGCTAAGCCCTCCGACCTGCACCTCCTAATAGGGAAGACCACATTTCTCGACCCACACTGGGATCGAACCCCGGACCGCCTGTGTTTCCCTTTATAATTTGATGTGTGATTTGCAGACCAACTTGTGTTACTGGGTATGCGTGTATAAACGAATACATCGTATACAAATCCAATATCTTTCAGTGGAAACTATTGAATCACTGTAGCGGTCGTTACTCACACCCACACTAACCAATATTCTAAATGCAGGTTACAAAAACCGCATGTTGAATTTGCTCAGACCGTCTGTATATGCATTAGGATACAAATAAAATGAGATAAAAGTGTTAACGACGGGCATGCGCCAGTGTGATATCTATACTAATATTTGTGACTGTCGTTTGTTCGTCTGTTTGTCTGTTCAGGGTTGGTTTGGCGGTTACATTAGGGCTGTAACGAGGCTGAAATTTGGAGTATAGGAGTAGCGCTGACCGGGGATTAACATGGGCTAGGTGACGTTGGACTACCGCTTCCGGTTTCGCAGTTATACTACTTTCAACCCGTGCAGCGCCGGATCATCCGATAGTGAGGAATATTTTGTCCCGACAGCGGCACCACGGATTCCACCTCTCAAGGGTTCTTTTGCGTGCACCCCTCGTCTTTTGTCCCTCCCGAACGACTATAAACTGTTATTGCCACCCCCCCCCCCCCGACATTTACAATTGACAAAGGGAAACCACGTCGCAAAATCCAAAGGAACTTTCTCCGCCGACACAGGGAGCGTTCCCCGAAGACATTAGGATACAACCAGTGTATGAAGCTTGTCTGAATTATTGCATGCAAGCTGTAACGTGGGTCCAACAGTTTTCTGCATATAAACAATGTGTTACTCTAACGAAAAGGTTTGTCAGTCGATAACCCATAGAACTTCGGGTTCATTAGGGGACTCGCCCAATACCAACAACGTCACTAAAGGAAATCATGACGCGTAGTCCAGGATGTTATTTAAAAACACGAATGAGTTGTCTCCACAGTCGCCAGTTTGTAATTATATATGGGTCAAAGGTGAAATAGCCCCGGTTAAAAAGCCACTCTGATCTGCATACTGGCAAAATAGTAAATCGATCGATCACATCAAAATAGAGTAGTCTGGGAAAAAAATTCCAATAAGAAAATTAATGAAGTTATGGATTATATAATACAAAAACGATAACAATATAATGGACACCCACAGTTGTTATGGGTGTATATATTGTCTTTTAGGTCTTTGCTCTGAATACCACAGAAGCCGTGGTGGCTCAGCAATAGGCGCTAGCTTACTTACCATGGGTCCAAAAATCAATCCCGGTGTCTGTTGAGAAAGTTCCTCGGGACTTTCATCGTTGTTTCCAACTGAGGGCATGGTATTAAGGACAGTGTCTAGTCCCTTGGATGGAACGAAAACCCTGGTCCAATGTACACATTGGTGTGCACGTAAAGTTACTCTTGAGAGTTGGATCTCGATATTAGAGTTTGCCTTAACGCCGCTGTCCAGTGCAGAAAAGTAATAGGACGTTGCTCCTGCTCTGTGTACCTCACCCGTCACTACATTTAACTGCCTGTATAGCGTTTGGATATCAGAAACCGAAGCGAAGTATCAACAGCTAATAACGGTCACTCGCTGAGTTGTTGGGGGCAGATCATCATTGATTTCCCAATTTTCTTTAATGTTAATTCTTATCTCTTTGCCTGCTTCCAACTTCTCCACAGACGGGGCGACACCTGGCTATATGTCATACTCAAAAGCTCGTATGAGGTTGCCCATTGAAATTTTGAGATACACAAATTTGAATATCATACTAATAAACATGTAATTATCCGCTGTATATAGCCATATTACTATCCTTCCGCCTCAACACTCTAAATATTTACCAAAACATGGCAGAAAGAGATGGGGGTTAATGTCCACTCGACACATACTAGGTCATTTCGGGACTAACACATGGTTCAATTTTATTTCAATATTTGGCTTGCGCGTAGCGGTCTTTTGCTGTTGGAGGAAATCGGAGGACCAGGAGAAAACCCACGAGGTTAGCCAGACGACCCTACTCCTTGTCACGTACAAGCGGCGAATCGAAACCATACCCGTTGAATCAATGACAGACCTTAAGATACAGTGCGCATGTGCTAACCATTCGGCCATCCAACCCCCTTGCATTCCGGACCACTGGGAGTTACTTGAATGTAAAATAGCAACCCCACTCCTCCACTCCCTTAGGAAAACTTTGTGATGTACAACCTGCTATGTTTAATACCAGTTCATCCCCGTTATTGATGACCGTCAACTCAGTGACAGACCTTATGATCCACATTACACGCCTTACACTATTCGGCCACCCAGCACACCCCCAAAAGCAGACAAAAAACAAATAAAATAAAGTGTTGTAGTTTTATATAAAACATTTATTTCGTGTGTGGGTAATATCTTATAATATGCTTTTGATTTCAACAAACAATATAATGATTATTATTTAACAATTGTTAATAAATATCTATAAATATCTATACCCAAGGTTAAAGGTCATCAATTACTGAGAAATATTAAGTGAACAACTCACTGTCACCTTATAATGAGTATAATTCAAAACGAAGACCATGTAGTTTGAAAACAAATACTGTCATGGATGCACATATTTCGCGGAAAACTCACTGCCATCTTATAACGACTTCAGTTAAACGGGGAAGACCTTGTACTTCCAAAAGAAAAACATGCCGCCATGCCGCTATAACTATCGCCAGTGACGCAAAGGTACCATTTCAGTGTGAGGCTATCGAATGATGCGTTCCCATGGGTGTCGTTCAACTTCTTCAATGTTCCCTTTGTAGCACCATAGATAGCCCATACTTTCCGTATAGTTCAGGACGTATGTTAATGAATTTATAAGGAAAATCCCTTAAGAGCGGTCATAAAGACAGCGTCAAGGTCGTACATCTTGAATTCAAACTAACCAAAATAGAACTTCCTTTGTTGGTTTTATGTAACATCAAATCTCATGATAAGAACAAGGTCATTTTCAAATCAGTTCTAAAAACGAAAGAACGAAAGAACGAAAGAACAGTGACAGATGCACGGAGTAATGTAAGTTTTCATGAGTAATTCATCAAAGCTTCCAGATTTAGCTCCGGATCGATAACAGGATGTTACACTTGTTCCAGACGAATATTCATGTTGGAATTTTAGGAATCAGAGAAGTGGGACATTCTAACAGACTTTTAAAGAAATCTGACAAGTTCACCTTCTATCGATCACATGTCACGGGAAGGTTTTAGCGGAATTAGAGACAAAATCATATATCTATGTACGTTATTGGCATCTGCTTCTTCAGAAGTTATGTAATCCATTGCAATGAAACATACACTTTATAAATCATTTTAATGTATGTGACTGACATCTTTATTTTGAAGTTATGTAATCAATTGCAATGAAACGCATATCCTTTGTTAATGTGACTGACATATTTCTGTAAGTTATGTAATCAATTCCAATGAAACATATCTTTTAAAAAACATATTAATGCATGTGATTGACATCTATATCGATTGGAGTCATGTGTAATCCACATATTTTACAAATAATTTCAATGTATGTTAATGTATGTGACCGGTATCTATTTCTTTTGACATTATGTAATCCATTCCATTTAAAAACATATTAATGTATGTTATTGGCTTCTGCTTCTTCTGAAGTGATAAAATCCAGTCCGGCGTCCATTGACATGAAACACACACCTTTTAGAAACGGATTAATATGACTGACATTAATTTCTATTGAAGTAATGTAATCCATTGCAACGGAACACATAAATGATATCGAATCTGTAGTGCATTATATTTTTACTAGAGAACTTTATAATCTATTGTTACTCTAAAACATTTTAACTTTAATCTTAGAGATTAATAGCAGCTTTGAGTGAAATGAAATGGGGTTTAACGCCCTACTTTTCTGCAGCAACGTGGGTAAAGACGGGGCATTGTGTTCTGGGGAAATGTTATCCGGACAGCGTTTCCGCCTATTCTGCATCGAATACCAGGGCCCGGGTTCTGCAACACTGATAAGGGGAAACTACCCTGAAAATTGGTGAGTTCGTGAGCCAACGCCTTATTCACTGAACTTCCGTGGCACCCTATCAACTTTAAGAACAAGGATATAGATCTGTGCAGATACTCGCGGATGGTGGTTGCATCCTTCTATGGCACGATTCATTCGAAAATTCAATATCTTATATAATTTAGCCCACGTAAAAGAATCTTTGAAGGTTAGAATTCGATTAAGAGAAGGTTATAGCGCCGCTGTCCGGGCAACAATTTCCCTCCTGGCACACTGTATAGCATTACCCCCGTCTTCATTAGCGCAGTCGGTGCAGAACAGTAGGACGTTAAACCCCATTTCATTTCATTGCTACAAAATAGTTGGTACTTTCTTCTTTAAAAATAAGCACATTCCCTCATGCGTATAGTCTGTGCTTCATGTGGATAAATAAACTTGTATAACAAAAGAAGTAAACAATATTATAGACGTGTTGAAAAAAGCTATCCTGAACACTATCTAATATTTTACTATACAATAACCAGTGAGAGTACCCTCTCTTTAAGGATAATGCGGCAAGGATTATGCTTCTTATTTGAGTGAAAGTGCATACTAAATAAAATCATTCTTACAAGGGATTCACGAGGCAGTTTTCAATTGGAGGGCTGAAAAGCGAAGTTACCCAAATATTTACTGACTCTGTCGATTTGAGTAAATGAAGTTTAAAGTTTTAATTTTAAACTTCATTTGATTTTTCAAATTATTGGAAGGTTGAATATAATAAAGTGTACATTTGAAGCAGATTGACGATTGCATTCCTTGCCTTGGTAATATTTGACGGCCATTAATTTTGATGGCCATTTGACATCCGTTTGGATCACTTTGCCGATTACAGATTTTAATATGTAAGTTTTTACCAAACCAAGATCTATACAAAATAGTGTAGTTGGAAGTGAATCAGGTTGTCGAAATAAATTATCATTATATCAACATTGAATATGTTTGGTTTGATTTTTGATGGATGCAAGACGGAGGGCCAGATATTGTAAATGATGGGTTAATCTTCTAGAATTTCTTAATAGTATTTCGGTTTAGAAAATATTTTAATCAGTAGGACTTAGATCTTTTGGCACGATAAAATCTATATCGGGGTTTATACACCTGGAGGACTAACTCAATGTACTTGAGATGGGGACTTGGATCACCTGACTTTTAAGCCCTACAATTATTAATAAGCAGTGCTTTCATGTGCTTGTTCTATTTTAATACCCGTATATACACTAGAAAGTAAAAATACCGCAAAGCAAGAATTGTTTATCGTATGATATTGCAAGATGACTCGTTTGGCTCAGTCTGATTAAAATACTGATCTATATTTCGTTTCGTTTTTTCTGCCTTCGATAACTTCCACATTTTGAACTACAAAAAATAACGAAACGAAATAGGATCTGTGGTTTAATCAGATTGCGTTTGGCTAATATGAAATTACAATATCACACACGATTTACCATAGCGAAATGTTTGCTACATTATTCCCTGGAAGAATATACCTTGTATTTTTAGGGGTCTGACAAGGGGTAAAGTATAGTTGTTCGGATGGGACGAAAAACCGAGATCCCATGTACACATTGGCTGCACGTAAAATATCCCTTGCATTTCGAATTCGATATAAGACGTTAAACCCCATTTCATTTCAGTTAATGCACACTGGCACAGATTAATAACTTGATCTTAAAGCATATAATTTGATATATCTAATCATTTCGAACCATGACTTATTCAAGATATTTCATTTCATTATCATTATCGCCGCAGCTCATATCGAACACCATAAAAAGCATTAGTGAATTTGATCATAATAGCAGAGAAACTCAAATAGCTATTATTGTGTCTGGCGAGTTTTCAACAATAGAATTTTACCAAAAGTCAAATAAATACTATTATACAACATGTTTTTTAAATCTAATAATCACGATATACGCTAAATTATACCATTTGTTTCATTATATACCTTCTAGACAAATTTCAAAATATATACACCGCCTAGATTTTATACTAGGTACACTCAGATCCAAGGATTCTCGTATGAATATATAAATCTATGCATGTTTTATTGTTTCCGCGAAGCACTGTCATTATTTATTTAAATAGTAATATTATATACATAGAGGTATAAATATTTACATTAAGAGTAAGTATAGTATATAAATAACCCTTTCCAATTAAACACCACACAAGACATACAATAATAATGCTATTGTTATTAAGTAATTCAACTTGAGACATGGCCTCCCTCTAAAATAAAATTTAAACTTTCTTTTAATTGACCACTCGTGCACACATTGGCAAGTACAAAAATCGATTGACAGAATTCGAAAAGGAGTAAGTGGAAACGCGCACATGACCATAAAAGATTTTTTTGGGTTTTTTTTTGTTGTTTTTTGGGGGTCTAAAAATTACCGAAATACCATGTTTACGAAACAACGCCCTTAATAACTTTGCTTTCCTCTTCGAATTTTGTGGCATTCATTATTTTGTATAGTCAAACATGAATAAGTCGATTACCATTCTTCATTAACAAATCGGATACCACAGACAATAAATTCAATATCGCCTTCAAAAATGTTTAGTTGAACCACAAGCACCCCATTTCTTCTGACAAATTCCATCGTGAACGGACAATTTGCTGAATGATGAACACTTAACATTGTAAATCATTACAATTGAAAAACAACAGTTAAATTCCTGGAACTACTTCTATTTGTCTTAAACACTTCGGAATTCCAAATACGACAACCAGCTCGTGCTAAAAACAACAGCTCACCACAAGATTTGCAGATCACGAACACATATTGCTAAATTCCTATTTTACTGCTTATTTTACCTTGGTAAAAAGTTTGCAGGATTTATTTGTGGCATCATCATCCTATGTAATGCAGGTCTTCTCTCGGCTGAGAACCGACACGTCAAGATTCTCCAGAATGCTCTCCTAAAATTAGCGTTACATAACGCGTAACATAAGGGATTAATTGTACTATTGATGTAACATAACCAGTAACCTGAAAAAAATAAAGCACAGTTAAAGAGACAATATAACCGACATTAAGAAAATAAATGTAATCATTTTTTAACATATTGAAATTAACCGTATGTCCATAAAAATATTGAGGGGTGGGTTGAATAACCTAACGCGTTCGCTTTCCGATTTCCTCTCACTGCTAAAGATCTATATGTACAAGCAAATTATTGAAATAAAATTGTACCATATGTTAGTCCCGAAATGACCTAGTTTGTGTTTGGTTGACGTTAAACCCCATTTTTATCTATCATATAATTATTTGACCAAAGACCTACTAAGATTAACATATTTGCATCAGTTTTTGCGAAACTCAATAAAAACAATTTGATATATAATTTATATCAGCAGATCAATTAAAATTCGTGTGCGTCATTTGCATTTTTCGGAAAATATCAAAATTAATCAAAACAAAATCAAAAAATCAACGGTAGAGAATCCCCCCACTTGAATTCAATCGGATTAAAATGATGCCCGTCACTAGATTTAAGCGAGAATTACAGATTCAATGTTCGTAATATTGTATTTTACAAGAGATTATTCAATCCATCAAATGGCGTTCATAGATTTTATTGGTGTAGCGGGGTTGGGATGGCCTAGTGGTCTTTTTTTATATAAACAATATCTTATTCAGGTTGTCTAAATCGGATTGGGGAACAGGCTTAAGCTGCGTTCACACTGCATGCGCATTCAATGCGAATTCCGGTGTCTCCGGATTGGTTTTTCACGCTTAAAAAGCGGATTGAATTCAGAATGAAAAGCGCCACACTGAATGCGCAGTGAAGGTCATTCATATGCAAAATGGATGCGCCAGACATTCATATTGGTGATCGTATGTTTCTTATGTTTAATTTCCTGAGGCAAGCAAGGCTGCATGAGCGACGCCGGGTCTAACATCTTCGACACCTTGCCATGCAGCGCCGGACACGATTTCGTTGGCACCAAAATCAAATGCAAATGAGGATGATTTTTCATTTGGTAGCGTTTGCTCTACATCAACACGTATGTACATGTACTTCACTCTTGACACTGTACTAGTGAAAATACATTTCATAATTGAAATGTTATGAAATGGGGTTAAACTTCCTACTGTTCTGGTCCGACTGGGCTTATAAAGACGGGCATAGATCATTTTCCCAGGACAGCGGCGGTTATCTCTGGTGTATGTGGGTTTACTCCGGTTCCCCCTTACAGGAAAGACCCCTGCGCATGCGCTGAGCATAGTAAAAAAGACAACTTGTAAGCGATATCACCCTCAGTGGAAGCGGACGTTAAACACTAACAGACGATGACCTCATTGATATCTGCAAAAACAAAGTATTAAATTGGGTTGATCTGATAAGCTTTATATTTTTTCATAAGTCGGGTTGTTTACTATAATTTTAATTTCACTTTTAGCTGATTATGTGGACAAAGGAACACACAATCCATTCAGTATATCTCGATATCAGCTTTATTTATGGACCTAAAACTTTTAACGAAGACAAGAAAGAGGCTTGCATATGGTTCAATTTTATTTCAATATTTTGCTTGCGGGTAGGTGTCTTTAGCAGTAGGAAGTGACCAGAGGAACCGGAGAAACCCCACAAGGTTGGCCAGACGATCGTATTCGTTGTCACGTACAAGCTTGGGATCGAAACTAAGCCACTTGACTCAATAACATACCTAATGACCATAACCATACGCCGCAGACCATTCGGCCACCCAGACCCCTGTTTGTGTGAAATAAACGAAATTAATACCCGGGATTTACTTCCACGTTACAGTTCTCTTTAAAAGAGTAATATTAAAACAAAGTACGCAGGTAAAAAAATTGGTTCATGATATCAAATCAATAGATTGTCACACATTGTTCAAGTTAGCTGTTATTTGAATCCATAGCGAACCACAATATTGTTGAATCTTTAAAACAGTTCAGTTCCCTAAAGCATTTGCAAAGATAATATGATGATTTGAAATTGGCTATATCTGTCCATTGACGTTATGTGGGCACTCTATTCGTTACTTAATTATTTTGGATACATTTTGGACAGTTTTGGAACATTCGTCATTGCTCTCTATAAACTTTATTCCGAGAATAATATATATATATATATATATATATATATATATATATATATATTGAGGGTTGGTTCATGCAAATGTATGCCAACATGGCATGGCGCCCTATTTCAAATATTAAAACACATGAAAGAAAAATAATAATCAATTGTACGACAAAAGGTCTTTTGTGTATTTCTCTGGAATTCTTGCTAGAACTAACGATGGCTTTGTCGTAAAAATGCGGTCAGATTACTCCTGCTATTGAAAGGAAGCAGGGTTTATTTTGTTTTCATTGACAAGTACAAGGGGTTCTGGATCTGTTTGATTTGGTTGTCCATGGTAATTTACTAATTACACAGATACGTTAGCCGTTTTGACCGACTGGTCGCATTGACCAACTGACATTGATGTCGAACGGAAAACATTGGAGTGAGTCCGATAATGAAAACCATTGATCTTGGTGTAAATCTCAGACATATTCTATCTTTGAACTGACAACATGGAACTGGTCAAAAGTAACACCATATAAGCGTCAAAATTTATTAGACAACTACTAATAAGAGTTGTTTCGGGAAATTGGGCCATGTGTCATTTCATTAGTGGTGTTATCTTGTTCACCTTTTGTAAATACATCTCGTTCATCCGGGGTATATTAAGGTATTTGAGTACTTGTACCCGGTACTGGATGTTCGCTTCGTCTTTTTACCGATATAGTGTTAATCCTATAGACAACGAGGTGATCAGAATTGTATAGAGAGTAGTCAAGTCGTATTGATTCTCAAAAACATCTTAAGATGTTAACAAGTATAAACGTACTATATAGACCAGCAATCGAGCATGACGTCATCGCAGCCATCTTGGACTTGTGGTGTCAATTCTAATATCGAAATCATCAAACGATGCGTAATTGTAAACATTCTAGTTAAAGTTAAATGAGCAAAACCTTTCCAGTGTAATTAGATTCAAATTCGTCCCGATTCTCAAAATCGTGGGGGTCGCGGTGGCTAAATGGGTAAGACGCTGGCTCGCTGGCCTGGAGGTCGGGTGTTGGATCCCTGCGTTGGCCGAGAAAGTTCATCCAGATTTTCCGGTGTGCTTCCCTCTTGTCAGTGATGCAGGACAGAGGGCCTGACAAGGACAGCTGTTTAGTCGTTCTGATAGGACGAAAAACCGAGGTCCCTTCCCGTGTACACATTGGTGTGCACGTAAAAGATCCCTTGACATTTGGGATTCGATATAAGAGTAGGCCCGTCTTCATTAGCCCAGTTCGGAGCAGAACAGTAGGACGTTAAATCCCCCTTTCATTTCTCAAAATCCTCTGATGAAACGATGTTAAAAAGTTAAAGAATAAAATTTATAGATTTAAAAACCCTAAGCGCAACAATATTGCTGTGTGATGAGATTTCGATTCGTCCTGATTCTCAGAAGAAGGTTGTGATGATTTGACCTTAACCGGTCCCTCATTTCGTCAATCAAGAGATGACTTGTCTTAAATAACCAAGTACAATATGATGAATAATAATGGAAACAGAATAGACAACCTATATAGAGAACTGCATGTAATGAAGACCAGCAAATAATTAACCCCGAAAATACATAACCCACTTTATTTAAACCGAATGTTTTTCCTGTCCATTAAAGCGGAAATTGCTAATTTTCAAGTTATATTTTTAAAATGTATTAAAATATAAAGCCTTAAAATAGATGGTATCCATAAACAGTCCTACCTTGTTAAAGAATAATCCTATTAATCCTATAATTTGCTATTGCCAGCTGAGAAATTTGCAAAAATATCATTTTTAACTTCAAATTCCAACATTGGAAAATGGCTGCCCCATGTTGTCAATAGTGATTTGATAACCTATTGAGCAAAAGACAAAGAAATAATTATGTTTTGACTTTCTTAGAAAATTTGAAATTCTCGCTTTAAACACAGGACGTTGGCATTGGTCTTTATAACTGCTAAATAGACCGCCTGGCAACACAAAGTGACGTTTATTTCACAGAAAAGTGCCGAAAGTTTTACTGGCTTTGATTCGCTTCGTTTGTTATTGACATTACATTGCCCACTAGGGAAAACAGGTCATGTTGTTCTGAGGAATATTAAATATAATGATATATTTTCAAACAGTCCTTATCGTATTATGTCAGTTTCCATAGTCAAATTGGAATTATAAACAGAATTTTATCGTGAAAGAATTTAACTAGGTTATGGACCTCATACACCATTAAGTTGATTTCGCGACTGACCAACTACTGCCTAGGATCTCCTTAAACTGCGCAGATGTGGTTAGTTATGTGGAAATAAAGTTAGAAATCTTGTAATTTCCATAGCAAAACCCGGAAATATGTTGGGTTTTTTTTCTTTATTTTAATGTCTAAAATATATTTCCATGGTGTATTATTGTCCCCGCAAGCTCTCTTTAAGTTATGGTTTGTATGTTCAGAAGCGTTAGGCCAGCTAGTCAGACAGCCCGAACGTTTGAGTCTCCATTAATTAAAATTAGTTTGAAAATCTACAATACTTTTGATCGTAAATTAATTCTGTAATTGAAAATCTAGACCGAATCTTTAATAAATGCACGGATATAACAAAACTTCTTGAAATATTGGTTTACATTTTTAGAACACTATATAGATATTACCAGTATAAACAAACATTTGGGTGTAATCAAACATGAACATTTAAAGAATTAAACTAGAGTCCAATATTTACTTTGAGATAAAGAAAATATTACAAATACCAAAAGTTATATTTCATACATAGAATCTAAAGATAATATTTTGTAATTCAAATGAAAAAGTAATTAAAACATAACCGTTAATTACTTTTCATCAATATTTAATTATTATTTCACCCCTCAAAAATACTCCGACCTTAATATTCTTTCGCATTTTATTAATACCCCCCCCCCCCCCTCCTCCGCAAAAAAAACCTCCGACCTTGATATTCTTTCGCATTTTATTAATACTTCTTTGTGCCTTTTGTGTAAATGAGTAAGAACATAAATAAATTGCGATTTTATTATATAAATAGGTTGTTTATATATTTTTCCATTTGCAGAAAACTGGTTCAGGATATGAACAAACGGTATGAAAGATCTTGGCGCCAATTGATATGTACATTTTTTGGGTCTTCAGAGTAGTTAACTTTTTATATTTAGACCATCGGGGAAGCCGTCCTTCGAACTGACGGATCCTGCAATCTTTTAGTTTTAACCATTCGAAGTTGCCAACTTTCGGAATGATCGACCCTACAATATATACATTTATGTAGACGTTCAGTTGGTCAATGTGACCAGCCATGTTTTCAAGTTCCATCTACGTTCTTGCACCGTAGAAAATGTAATGAAATATATTACAGATGCCCCGGTTATGGGTGTTAAAGCAAGCACAGAAGCTTAAGGTAATCCAATAATAACTTGAGTTAATCGCCTCTTATAACCGATGACCCGAAGGCAACCATAATGAAAATGGTATGGAAGATGCTTGAAGTGGATTCTAATCACCATGGCGGTGTAAATTAAATACGAGTAAGTCGTAAATTAAGTTATACGTGCTGGAATATTACAAACGTGTGTTCATTCATCTAGTTCGTTCTGTTCGCCTAGGTCAGTTCGTACTATAATGCCCAAGATCAAATATAGGCAGTTAATTTGACAAGCAGTTCAATTTATCGCTCTTGTACCAGTGTTTCTTAAATCTAATTAAGACAGCTAATACGCCAAGTGATGTCCTAGTACCTTTCAACTGGAAAAGTGTCATTATTATGATTGACACCAGCGAGATTTCTAATTCATTTCTTTCGCAGCCAAGTACATGAAGACGAAGTTTTCTGAAATGACATTTCAGAAAATTCAATACATATGATTTTCTTTTTTACGAACGAGAAATAAGCACAGAGACGGATTTTGACATGAAGTGTATTTAAAGGCTAATGAAGTGTAACCAGTGACTCTTTTAAAATAGGATACTGGCCTTCTTGTCTTATCACAACAAATTAATAGAGTTTGCAAAAATTGGCACTTCCTTTCAAGCGGAAAATAGGTAGAAATTTTGAGACTGTCTGTCATATTTCTTAATAAGAATTTTTGTATGAATTATCTTCATACTGTTATTATAAGATCTATAAGATGATTTGAAGATGACTAATAATTAAAGAAGATAAAAGTATACAGTAACAGCTTAGAGTAACAGATATGTCAGATACTAATGAGTTAGCAATGCAAAAGTACAAAGTAAATTTTTATCTATGAGAACGTTCATGGCAGTTACGTAAAATGTGAAATAATTCCACTGACAAGCGCTGCAAGCAATTATAGAACAGGACATATGAGTAATGGGACCGGCAAATGATGCAGCGGTTACTTTTTACAGCAAAGTAATGCCACGAATATAGTTCCGAAATGGCCTAGTTTGTATCGAGTGGGCGTTAACCCCATTTCTATGATACATTTTGTTGCAAGGGTATTCACAGGATGCTCGGCGAGAGTAAATGCAATAACTCTAGAACTTGGCATCGGTAATCGATGAAATTCAGTAGCTTTCGTTGTCATTGCCCTTGTCTGCGATATGTTCCTTGATAAAAGTGGATATAAAACTCCAGGGACGAACGAACGAACGAACGAAATGTCATTGCGCACTAATCTGAACAACGCGGATAAATTTGTAAAGATCGGAAAATAAATGTTGACGAAAGGACAGACATGGGTGGTGGCAACATATGACCAGATTTCAATCCGGGCGTATCACTTCGGTGAAAGCGGACGTTAAATAAAGGTATTTCACACACAATGGATAAATGAGTTTAACGCCGTATCTCTATGCCAAACGGGCCAATGAAGACGGTCATTTGTCATGCAATGTGCTATGAGGGAAATGTTTGCCTTAGTGAGTCTTCTGCTATTAGTGTTTAACGTCCGCTTCCACCGAGGGTGATATCGCAGATAAGTTGACTTATTTCTATTATCCTAGCGCACGCGTATGGGGTCTTTCCTGTAGGAGGAAACCGGCGTACCGGGAGTAAACAAACGCGGTTGAGAAGGCGCCCCCATCTCCAAGCCACACACGTTTACATCTTGGATCGAAACCACGACCACAAGCTACAGGTGATAGGCCATCGTAGCTCCCATTATATTAGTACATTACTGTGGGAGCATTCTTCTTGTATACCCTACCTCATTATTTCACAAGCTTTATTACTAAGTGTTAATTACTTGATGGTTTTCAACAATCAAGATAGGTCAATATTTATTAGTAAGTCCGCGCCCGAATGCCACTTCCGAAACAAGTCAAAACTTTAACCTGATCCAATAAATATAGACCTAAAGCTTCTTTCAATTAGCAGCATTCCTCACTAATTTTGAAACAGATACTATCAGTAGTCAGTGTTGTTTTGGCTTCTCTGTAAGAGAGAGAAATGGTGTTTAATGTCCACTCGACACAAACTAGGTCATTTCGGGACTAACATATGGTGCAATTTTATTTCAATAATTCGCAGGCATATACAACCTCGTGTATGACAACCGTCACTATTTATAAGATCCGGGAAGTGAGCTATCCCACACGTACGAAGTGAGCTATCCCACACGTACTTCCGGTAAGTATGTGGGAGACCTAAGTTAACACCAGTAGTAGCTACAACAACTCAGGCGACATACTCTATCGTTTTCTCAGAATTAAAGAGCAATGCTAATATTATTCGCATCAAGACTATGTTATAAATGAAATGAAATGAAATGGGGTTTCACGTCCTACTGTTCTGCTCCGACCTGGGCTAATGCAGACGGGCATACGCCATACATAGTGCTATGAGGGAAATTTTGCCTGGACAGCGGCACTACGTCCTACTCTTATATCGAATTCCAACTGTCAAGGGATGTTTTACGTGCCATCCACTGTGTACACGGGACCTTGGTTTTTCGTCCCATCCGAACGACTAGACAGCTGTTCTTATCAGGCCCTCTGTCCTGCATCAATGACAAGGGGAAACCAAGCCGGAAAATCTGGATGAACTTTCTCGGCCAATGCAGGATCGAAGACCCGAATTCCAGGCTAGCGAGCCAGCGGCTTACCCTCTTAGCCACCGTGGCCCTAAGACTATGTTATAACATCACGCCAATCCAAAACAGGTGAGATACGTTATAAACCATGCATATAACGAATCTTAACGTAAAACTGGATATTTCTGTAACCGATTCCATTGTAGCTTACACTTTTTCTTCGTGGTTTTTTTCTCTCTTATAAAAGTTGTTCAATTATCTAACAAGCCACTCCAAAAATGCTGTCCAACAGAGAAAATAATTCAGTAGACATGTAGCATTAAAGAAGTGGTGCTTACACTAACTGTGGCACAATGTATTTGCATTGTGAATTATTATTGGAAAGAATATTTTTAAAAACTGTGCTTAATAATAAGTCTGGTCGTCGGCAATGCGAAACATGTGTTTTGTTAACACGTTTTGTACTAAGAATTCTTTGGTTTAAAGGGACGTTATCACTTTCAATAAGGCATTAAATGTACAAAAAGAATATCAAATTCGCCAAATTATCGAAAATCCAAGAACTGGTCAATTTTGTTGTAAGATCCGATGAATTTCGTAAAAAAACACTATAATGTTTACGACTCGTAAAGAGTCTTAAAACGTCTATATCTACAAAGGATTGTTAAATATGACAGGAAAACGGCATACAATTAATTTAAGGCACTCGATGATGTATCGTCAAATCATGGTAAATTGGAAATTATTTTTAACTAACCGCCATAGATCTTCAAAGTGCTATAATTCCCCGTTAAATCACAATTAACATGGCGAAAATGACACACGGTTGTTGAAATGAGCTTTACATGTTTTAATCAAACATAAAACTAATTATGGTCTGTTTTAAAACAAATGTTTCTGTCTACAATTTAATGAATGAACAATATTTAGTCTTTCACCTCAGCAATGCTATGCTGTCAGGTTGTAAGTTGAACTACCGTCTCAAGAAATGACGAGTTAATCTTAAAGGTGTGTAAACGGCACACGGTATGGAATTGCCAGGCAACGAAAAATGCGTCCACAAAGTCACAAGTAGTTTTTCTAAGAGAGGCAAGGAAACAAGTTTAACGTGCTACATTTCGGCACCAACCGAGAAGGGCGGGCATATGGTGCGCTATGGGGGACATCTTGTCCGGACAGCGGTTTTCCACTTGTATTTCATCGAATTCCAACTGGTTCTTTTACGTGCACGTCAACATTTACACGGGACCTCGGTTTTCCGAACGACTAGATATTTTTCATTGCGAGACCACTACTCTATTGACAAGATGAAATGATAATGTTTCTTTTCATGACCAGTCCAACAGTAAAACAGTCTATGGAGAGATTGCTTAGATGATAACTATTAAAATCAAAGCCTGATTTCGGTGGGGTTTTTTTTAAAGATCGCACCCGTAGACTTGTGCGTGCATGTATAAACCTATGGACGGTCCTGAAACATTATAGTCTCTCTTGGGAAATTTTGGCGATAATAATAGACTTACCTATAGCGTACAAAGTTTCATTTATACATCCAGTACAGTAGGCTTCCACTATTGTAAATATATTATACGGTGTCCATGTGATGATAAAGGCTAATAAAATGGCTGTCAGTGTTTTAGCAGCTTTTTGATCCTGCCTCCTTTCATGTCTTTTGGAATGCAATTTATGATGAGCTCGTTGTTTTCGTACTTTATTGGCAACTTTAGCCGCCATCTTGGCCTGCATGGCGACACGGGCGGTATCGTTGCTGTGTGCCCGTCTAGCCATGGCGGGCGTTCCGGTTGGAGGACGAACGGGTGGAACAATACGATTCCGGTCTTCCTCCTCCTCATCGTCGTCTTCATCATTTAAATCAGGATGACAATCATCACTAGAATCACTATCACCATGTGTCCTGTGGTGGCCTGTGTCACATATACTATCTACGTCACTATCAGGAACCAAACGAATAGAAGGCTGTTGGTCCTCTATATCACTTGGAGGGAGTTTGATAAACACTGTATACATTTTATCCTTTTCTTCTTCAATGACGTCATCGTCTTCCTCTGCAAGAGGAATAGACGACAAATCAGTCTGTCGTGAAAAAGACGTGGTGATATCATGACAAGATGAGGGGGTGGGGGAAGACAGGGGTGTTTCTACGGGTAACAGAGGTATAAGGGAACCACTAATACACATCTGATCATTGTGTTTGCCCCTTTTAATGGAAGTCTGATTAATATGGTTGCTAGGGGTAACACGTTTATTTACATTGGTGTTCACTGGGATATATTCATGAGATTCTGACACAATTATGTTGGCATTACCGGGAGAAGCTGTTTGATCGCTAGAACTGGATTCCTCGGCGTAATCTGAATCCCGATCTATTTTCAAACACGAGAAAAACTTCTTTTTACAGGAGTTTTTATGTTTTATGGAATTACCAAGTTCCGTGGAGGGACTACGTTTTTCACTTAAGCTTGAATAACCCTCCTCATCACTAGATAGAGTTGATTTCTTGCTACCCTTGCTACCCTTCCCTTCCTTCCCTCCTTGTAATCCTGCTAAATCTTTCTGTCTCTTTCTCGTCTCTCGATAAATTCGATAATATATGATGGTCATTATGGACACGGGCACATAAAAAGCAGCCATGCACGTAATGATGGTTATATACTGATTAGTTTTCAGAAACTGAATATAGCAATCGTTTTCGGGGACTGTTCGTTTACCTTCTATATAAGGCCAGGCAAAGATCCAGGGCGTCCACATCAAGGCCGAGATCACCCAAGCACACCCAATCATCCAGCCAGCACGTTTAGGAGTTCGTTTAGCCCGATAAGTCAAGGGTCTGGTAACGGACAAATATCTGTCAAAACTGATAATAATTAGATTAGCCACTGATGCATTGCTCATTGTGTAATCCAAGGAAAGCCAGATATCGCATAAAAGAGTTCCAAGTGGCCAATGATCCATAAGAAGATAGACCGTGTAGAAGGGCATCGACACAACCCCAATGCTTATATCTGCCACTGCTAAACTTAACAGAAAATAATTGCTTACGGTTTGAAGTCGACGATCTATTTTAAATGCCCATATTACTAGTAAATTCCCACCTGCCGTCATAAGCGACAGTAACACTACTAAAAACGATATAATCGCCACTTCCAAAGTTGAACGCGTAACATCAGAGCTCACTAATGAAGAATTCAAATTTGACAATGTCCAGTTGCTATCATAATCATAATCGGCATTTGAGGATATAATCGACGCAATGGCAGACGACGTTTCAAATATGGCGTTAGGCGTGAAATTGTTGGAAGGTTTCACTGTTGAAGAGAAATACTGCTGTGTCTGCGGATTGTCCGGAATGGAAGCATTAAAGATATCTAGAAACGACGCGGATTTTGGCGAATTCACTAACATATATTCAACCTGAGCTATCTGGGTACTAACTGATATTTGTGACACGGTGTTTGTAGTTCCATTCCAAGCGGCCATTTCCGACACATTTTACACAATCACTCCTTGAATAACGGATATCACGATTCCTGAAGGTATTTCATACAGAAGCAAATAGGGGAAATAAATACACACGGTGATGAAAAACGGTATTAATAATCTTCCGCTAGCTGTCTATAGTAATCACATACAATCTGCTCCTGGATGCCAAACATAATTTCCCCTGTTGAGCTGGTTTTCTCTCTAGCTAACTTTGTGGAACACAGGTGTTAGTCTAAAAATAGAAAATAAAAACAACACATTTAATTAGTAATCAATTAACAAGGATTACATCGAATGTAATAAAACAATTTTACATCGGTAATGTTCATTAACGTATGTAAATCTACACTAAATACTATTAGATCATGGCTGCTTATATTTTCATTATGTGGGATAATCCAAAACTATTTTAAAACACAAGTAGGAACGTTATGACTCATAGAGGGAAAGGGCGGGGGCGTACATAAAACTAAAGGCAGAATCGAATTCAGATAATATTAAGTTGACATTCCTAAATGGAAAACTATCACATTAACATAGTACCGAATATACTGACTTTCATTAAAAGAGTAATCATGTGCTGTCCTTTATCTCAGATCTTTAAGTGAAATGCCAGTGCCAACATCTGTCCAAGAATGACGTGATTTATACGGAAAAGATGTAAAGAACTGCGACAAACAAAGATGATGGCGTGAAACCCGAAGAAACTAATGCACACCTAGAAGCCGGAAGCATAATGTAGCCAAATCGTACTTAAAGTGATATTTAAATTCTCACGATTTCAAAGTGAGAAAATCTCATTAATTAAGATAAAAAAATAACTGTTTATCGGGTCAATGTGCTTTGGTATTTCGGCTATTAAGGGTTAAGCTCTATACCATTAAATTGTCATTCTAGGTAGTGACTTTAACTGCCACTGTTGAACACAAAATTGGGCATAAATGGGAAAGGGGGTGGGTTTAGTTTAGGCTATGCCTGTTCCCCAATCCCTATTCAGATACAAATCTGAATAAAAGATTAGGCGTATTTTTTAACACGCGGACACAGATTATCACACCACAAAGTCAATCAACACAAAGAATTGAATCAAACCACCAATTTGTGTATGATAAAAAATCAAAGAGCTAAGATTAACATATTACAATTTAAATATTTCACATTCAGTAGATATTTGCAATGTTTATAGTTTTATACACTTACTCTAAACTCCATACAAAACCTTTTTTAATAATTTCGCGAAGAAAGAGTTCCTACTCACAATTGATTGATTTTTGGAGCTATATGTTCTACAATAGGAATACTTTTTAATGAATACTATAATCTATCTATAATTAGATTTCTACGATCCAACACATGGATTATTCTCAAAGTCAACAAATTTCAGGCTCCTTTTGTAATCTATATACTCCATTTTCATAACTGCATGTTACCCCTTTAAATTACAAGTGGCTGCGTTTCTTTGAACACGACGTGTGTCATTGGTGAGTAGGGTCATAAATGAAAATATAGTGAGAATAGGAAACGTGTATTATTAACACTAGCTATAGTTACAGTAGATGCCTTATGGAAAAGCTATATCTGTCTATTGCAGGTCTTATTCTGGCTTCAAGTGCTATATAAATTTTTATTTAAACATTTGTTGACTTGACAAACCCAAAATCAGCTTTCTATGATATCGGATGGCTTAGATTTTAAGTAGATTAGAACACCGCTATAAAATAGATAATCGAGACATAGTCTCTATTATCAGGTTCCGTTGTTACGATAATAAACAATTTAAGCTACATTTGTTAAAACTTCAAACACTCATAACTTCGCACTGAATAAAGTAATTTGACTGAAATTTTCAATTTTTCATTATCTATTTTGAACTATTATAGCGAGCAGGGGTGTGGTGGCCCATGATTTTGAACGAGGAATAAGATCCCGTCCGGGCCCCAAAAAACAATTTTCATATGTGTGCGGGGGAGGGGAAGGTCCCTCACAGTGCCGTCGAGTAATATTGGGCTGTGTGGAACATGCTAGAGTCGATTTGTAGCATATCTGACCCATGGTATATGTTTGATACTGTTTAAGCATTTTGGTTATGATTATAATGTTGAAAATTGCATTGAAACCATGCCAATTTTACGATTTGTGAAAAGGCGCAAAAACTCAAAACCATGACGTAAAGCTCGTCATTGCGTCCCTCTCACTTAGCGTCTGATAGCGAGAGAGGCCAGTTCTTTATATCATTCTTTTATGGATAAAAATATTTGATTACAATGCCAATAAATACTAGTGTCTTCAAAGAAAATTTAGCTTTTAAAGGAAAATATTGAACGTTGCAGTTATTATAGTCTCGAGATTACTACTATGTTGGGATAATATTATTTGATTGCAGTAAAGACAATGATTGCCTTTAAAGAACACTTAGCGGTGAAAGGTGGCATTGTGTATATGCCACCTTTTACAAACAATATTTTCATTATCTGTGTCAGTGTTTATCGCGGATCGATTTCAGAATCTGGCCTCAATTCTTTCTTAAAGCTAACTTTACGTGCAATACAGTTCAGTGGTAGGTCTTTTCTTCATTTAGCCTTAAACATACATTATGCAAGAGCTAGATCTGCCTATTGCAGGTCTTTCTTTGGACCTGAAATGTTATATAAACTATTAATTAGATATTTATTAACATGAAAAGACCTTAACTGACACTCGATGCCATCTTATGTGACGGATTTTCACTGGGTTTGAATCCGATTTGAATCGGGATTATCTTTTTTACCGTACCCACTTTAGTAATAATGATCGAGTCTAGGCCCAAAATTCAAACACTAGTATCTCGGTTCAGAGTGGAACAATTTGACTGACTGGAATTTTCAGCATATTCCCTTCACATTATCTAGTTTTTAGTTATTATAGTGAGATCTGCCAGCTCTTTATCTCATCTTAAATAATATATATTTAATGTCTTCTCCCGTCTTAACCCAGGAGGTACAGCACAGTAGGGTGTTAACCCCTTGCATTCATTGATTAATGATTACCGCAAACTCAACATATGGTTCATTAAGAATATAGTTTGATGGAAACATTTCAGGCACTGTTCTAGTTGAATTTGAGGTGAGTGAGCAATAATAATAAGACATTGGGTGGTGTGCGGCAAGCGTTACAAGATGACGCTAACCTTGACCACGAACTTTAAGTCTTTTTAAAACAAAGAAACATTACTACCATATGTAGAACAGGAACCGTTTTTAAGTACAGAAATTCAGTGGTTTATTACTTACAGGGCCACGCGTTTGAATCATTCAGAAGAACACGAACGTTTAACCTATTATTTAATACTAACATGACCTGAAGCTATACTGGCACTGCCATGGTTCGCATTATGCAATTAACCGGAAAGTGACCTTGCGGTTTCAATTAGTTTAATTGCATTAATGATGTAACACCAATACCTCGAGTAACAGTTCATCGACAGACTATCCCAGGCACGAAAAACCACCTATTCGGAATTTTATTTATTTTCAGGAAAAAAATATTTTATATGCAATTCCTAAAATAGGTACAATGACAACGTTAATATATAGCGAGCTAAATCTCGATTTATGTGTTGTACTTGGCGTAATCTACATCAATTATTTAAGAATTATGTTGGATTGTTGGTTGAGGTAATCTACATTAATAAAAAGGCCTTGTATTATTAAAAGCGCACGAAACATTCCTAATCTACAGACTGCTCTGGCAGCCCCGCCCCCAACGTGGGGATTCCGCGTGCATTTACTATTGTCTGACTATCTGTAACTTTAATTTTTTATTGGGTGACCCATTATAATCGACATCCCTGCATTTGTCTTTTTATATGGACAATTCTAGAGTATAATGTCATTCAGTGCACATCAGATGTTCAGATTGTTGCACAATTATTTCAATATATACATTTCGATATACATGTATTTATATCCACCCATATGCCAGTGTATTCAAATAAGTTCAATAAAAATCAATAGATTATTTATAGAAGTTAAAACATATAAAGACTTCAGTAACAATGATATTTACACACGATCGTAGCCTGACGAGTTTACTGAAGTATTCGGTTATCTCTGAAAATGTTTTAAGCTGGAGTTAAGTAGAAACATTAAGAAAGGTTCCGATCATTTTACCTTTGGTCATAAAATTTATCTATTTCATTGGTTACTGATTCAATCCAATATCTTCTAAAGGGGCTTGACTTCTGACTCATTAGTATCCATAATATTCGAAATGGCTGATTCACAAACAACAAAATAATATTACAAAACCGAGTAGAATGTTCTAAGCCGGCGTAAACGACTGCCGTACAATTTTGACCGTCAACGCATTAAACCAAATCACTTTATGTACACCCATAGTACAGTAATATGTGCTTTTACACCAATGTTCGTACTTATCTTAAACACCTGACAGTCTCATAATCAGCGTAATAATGAAATGTGATAATACATTTTTACACCTTGAATCCAACAAAATCACGCTAGTCAAAATGTATCATTAAAGAACACACACCATATTTAATACTATATAATCAATATTCTAAGTATAATTTATGAAACTAATACATGTATAATTAACATTTATAAAGCACATAAACACACTAATTCTAAAGTTTTTAATGCGCTGCTGGTTCCAGCGTTATCATAATTAGCTCCACGACCTATTACCAGATAAAAAGTTGGTATTTTGAGGAGGTTTTAGTCTGAAGATCGGAGTGATCTACTTGGTAAATGGTATTTGAGAAGTTACTAGTCTGAAGTTAGGAGTGTTCAACTTGGTAAATGGTATTTGAAAAGTTACTAGTTTGAAGTTCGAGGTGGTCTACTTGGTAAATGGTATTTGAGGAGTTGTTAGACTGAAGATCGGAGTAGGCTACTTGGTAAATGGTATACTATTTAGAAGGTATGCATTATATTGATGAAATCTGCACGTTCTCATATCTATCACATATTTTGGGACATTTTTATTACGAATTCTTTCTGTAAAGTATAGTATGTCAGTTATCAATATTTTTTAATTATCACCTTATGGGCACCATTCATCACAAACTGTAACATTTTCCCAGAAAATAAACCAATTATTCCATGGATCAATACTAACTTTTATTGACCAATGAAACCTGCTATTACTGTCAGGTAGTTGATTTGGGAGAGCAGCCTAATAATATGACATCCTTCTGTTCGATACCCATTAATCCGATAACCGTAGGATGTTGTCCACCCATTTATTTTCATGTTGCTTCTCATTTTTATGATCATGCTGGCCCAATACTCAATAAACTGATACTTCTGGTCGATCATTTCCCAAATGCTAAATTGGAACAACATATTCTTCCAAAAATTCTTTACACATTTCATTCGTGAATATTCTTTTTATACTGAAGGTGTGGCATTTCCGTTATACGGGCAGGACAAATCCAGCCGTTGCATATTCGTTAAGTCGTTCGTTTATTCTAATACAGAAATAGTATGAACCATGCTCATGCCAATATACAAATGGGTATCGTCTTTAATTAACAACTCGCCACGTCGACTATGACGTTAACAGGGCATCTGTCATCCGCTGTAAACAAAGAGAGCAGAATAAATGCTATGATATTCTCCGATCCAACGACTTAATAGTTAGTCAAGAACATGTTGTTTCGTTATATACAGTGACTGACATGTACCTTGATCATGTCATAGCGGGTGCCTTAATTTATTAATCAAATGCTGAATGAGTTCGGTTTCTCGAATTCTGGAAACAACATGTATGTTGCACTTAATGGAATGCCAAAACAAGAGTATTTTTATAAATGAAACGAAATAATTGTAATCTAATTGTTCACTAAATTAATGTTATTCTATATAATGAACTCTGCAATATTAGCTGACATATAAGTCAATTACTTCATTAATGATCTTTTAGAGGCATTTAAATTAGTAACTGGATAGAGCAATAAACTATAACACATACTTGAAAACGTTGAGAGAATACTCTTCGAAACGTCGCCCAAATAAATCAGTAATTGTTCTTCCATAAGTATGTGTTATAGTTTATTACTTCATTAATCTTGTGAATGGAAATTAATTTCAACAAGTAATGATATGACTTTCTGGATATGTTAGTTTCGTTTAACATTTTACTTTTCCTGGTCCTTGTATTTTAAATTCCAAAATATAAGACTAACGCGGGGGCGCTATAATTAGCCATGTGTACAAGAGGTATGCTATGCTTAATAATAATTGGTCTAAAACATATATATTTGATTATTTCTTGCGGTAGTTCACATAGCTGACATTTTTTTGCCGTTTGCTTAGGAATTCACGTATTAGTATTTTTTTACCTTTTGATAACTCATAACTTGAACTACATATCCGATTATATAACAATGTTGTTTTGGCAAAAGAAGCACCACATTCACAGTGACTATATGAGTTGTATGTAAATCTCCACTGCTACTTTTTTCAATCCACATTAATTCCAAATAAATACAAACACACGCCAACACACAAGTGTACACATTTAACTATGCTGATTGAAGTTTAAATAATCCCCAAAAAACACGTCCCGGAATAGATTCAAACTATTTAGAAATTTCTGGTCTGAATGTGTGTGTGTATATCTCCGCAAACTATGTGACAAATGCTATACATGTACATTGCTTATCACAGTACCACTGTCGTGTTTATAAAAATTGTCTACACGTGACATTGTTTGCTCTGACAATGAAAACATTAATTCATGGCATATGTCAATACAACTTTATATGACTGTTACTGAAGCATTTTTAAAATGATTGTTATAAATAACAATTGTTAACTGACACCTATATCTATCAATCAAATAAATACTGTGTTATAAAATAGAATGATCGCACTATGACGACCCGAAGTTGTGTTAAAGGAGGCAAGTTTTTAACTCAATATTATCCAGTCTTCGACATTGCACACACGATTTATTGGCCAATTGAAATCAACCTTGGTGTTGTTATCTTACCGTAAAAAAATGGACTTCTGATATCCGATATATATTTAAGACAAAATATAAATTTTAAAATTGGCACACGCGTCGCGTCCCAGAATGCTTTCGAGCGCCATTTGTAAAGAAGCGACTCGATGAGCGAGGCTAAATACATCTCACAAGAGAATACTACCGGTATAGACTGGAATAACCAGACGCCAAAGACTGCCATTCAAGTTGGACTCTTCGGGTATTTCTCCGAACATAACTGATTAGAAATTACAGTAAAAACAGAAACGATTTAATGTAAATCCGTTTTTTATATACATTTATATTACATTATTATATGCGTTGCGGCCCATTTGTGCCCATTTCTAGGTGCCAAAGAATAGCGATTTAGCTCCTTTAACATACCTTATATAACATATCTGGTTTAAATTTCCGTCCATTTTGAAAGGGGGGGGGGTGGATGGCTGAATGGTTAGCGTGCGCGCGCTGTATCATAAAGTCTGTCATTGAGTCGACTGGCGTGGTTTCGAATCCCCGGTTGTACGTGGCAAGGAGTAGGGTCGCCTGTCCAACCTCGTGGGTTTTCTCCGGGTCCTCCGGTTTGCTCCCACTGCTAAAGACCCCTACGCGCAAGCGATACGCGCAAGCGAATTCTGTAAATAAAATTAAACCACATGTTAGTCCCGAAATGACCTAGTTTGTGTCGAGTGGACGTTAAATCCCATTTCTCTCTCTCTCTCTCTCCATTTTGAAAAAAAAATCGATGATATAATTTCCCAAAGAAAATCTGAACATTTTTTCTATGGGTACAGTTCTGTAATTTAAAGCCAATATTCCTTTTAAGCACAGGAAGCGGGGCTTGCAAAATTTCTACTTAAAATACTTGCTATGCAAACATGGGGTGAATGATGGACGATTTCCTTGCCATGATCTTTGTCTAATATCACTGATATCAGGGACCTGTTTCACGAAATTTTAACTTAAGATAAATTCCATATTTTAGTAGATACTTCAATTTTGATTGGCTAAGCACTAAAATCAATCTAATATTATCCAATCAAATTACTAAATTTGGATTTTATGTTAGTTAAAATTTCGTGAAACGGTCGGATTAGTGGGCTCCAATCTCCCTAATAATTTACGAATATGTGTTCCATACTTTTGACTGGCACTTAACAGCTCCGAAATGTGAATTTCGTTCTGATGTGATCATACCCAACCCGTCTTGGTTAGTGACCATGTCTTTCGGGGGGGGGGGGGTATGGCTGAATGGTTAGCGTGCGCGCGCTGTATCATAAAGTCTGTCATTGAGTCGACTGGCGTGGTTTCGAATCCCCGGTTGTACGTGACAAGGAGTAGGGTCGCCTGTCCAACCTCGTGGGTTTTCTCCGGGTTCTCCGGTTTCCTCCCACTGCTTAAGACCCCTATGCGCAAGCGAATTATTGAAGTAAAATTAAACCATATGTTAGTCCCGAAATGACCTAGTTTGTGTCGAGTGGACGTTAAACCCCACCTCTCTCTCTCTCTATGGCTTTCGAGACAGCAATTGAAAATATTTTTCTATAAATACTATGTTGTATTACAGATTCAAAACATTATGTTGCGACACTAAAAATTAAACCTTGTTACAAAACAATGTAAAACCTGTCTAAGAAGCGATTAGTCTGTTTCAGACCTTTTGTATTCGATTTCACGTCACTCGTGTTTTAGTAATGAAGCTACAACTCGGTCCTCTTAGTACTTGCAAAAGATGTGGGAGAGTTATTAGGTCACGTGGTTCAGATATTCGATCTTCTGGGATCTGATCAGTTTTTGACAAGAGACCGATAAAACAGAAGCCCAGCGATGACGCACGGCATGTTTCGATTTCAACCCTAAATCACTCGCAAGCCAATAATTAAGTGTGTGCTGATCTGGGTTATACCACTAGTTTGAAATGTCTGAGTAGCATTATTGTTTGCGGGGTCGGAGATTGTGATGTCTTGAAGAGATGTGTACTACGTGATTTGATGTTATGTTGACCTCTTTGCTAATAAGATCATGGTCATCGACTCCAGAACAGACAGGGACTTGACTAAAATTGACAAGTTGTTGCTGGTACTTACACTTCTGGTATGTATCGGGGCATCTGTTATGAAGCTGGGCAGACCCGAGTCAAAAAATGGGCCAGGCGTGTTAGGGTGGCCTATAGTGTGGCGCTTCGGGGCGTATCTGGTCGATCAACTCCAGTTGTCGGTCGTATGTGGCTCTGAGATTCTGTCTACTCCGGTTCTCTTGCACATAAAACACCCCTGCGCATGCGCTAAATAAGTGGGAAGTATTCGATCACAAATAACGTAATGGTGACCTATTTCCAATGTTACATGATCATTGCAAAAGAAAATAGGATGGAACAGAATTCAACAGACCGCGTCTGTCCTATATATGTTTTATATAGTTTACACATTTCAGGCGTTGTTTGGAGATATCGCAGCAAATAAAACGCAGAAAAACTCTTGAAAGCTCAAGTATTATTAGGCCCATTGCTCCTGGGAATACTCCAAACTTTTAAAACTTATATTTACGGGGATTTCTTTGAAATTTGATTTAAACTTTAAACAAAAAGAACTTAATTATAGGTGCGTCTATTTGACATAAATGTCATGTCTGTCAATTATTGTTGACCTATTGTCAAAAAAACACTGGGGTTGATGAATGTGATCGATAGTGCCAAGTTAGCACTGTCGTGAGATGCGTCCACGATCTGCTACGTGCAGATACGTTTCGATATGGGCACCACGATTGCTACGAATGACCTCAATATATGATAAGACCTGATAGGATAACCACGATTAAAACCACGATCGATTTCAATCGTAGCACGATTCTTTATAGTGGGAATATAGCAGAAGTGCAAACACTAAGACCTAGTTTTAACTCATAGCTTTATCAAACTATCATCAAATCATATGTTGGGTTACACCTATGCAACTGAAACAGATTAGTGTTCAGTTGTTCATATAGTACAAAAAAACAAGCGGTGCCGTTTATGGATTGGCAGTTCATGCAAATGATTTTTCTTCTAGAATTCAGAGTGGACGGAACCCCGGTGCATTTATTTAAAAAGTAATGTTTTGCAAACCTTATTGTAAAAATTGGTGTTTAAAAAATTGGCAATTAAGTGAACTAAAAGCGTTATGGGTGTGTTAACAAATAATTTAAATTATGATTTAACTCATTGAAAACCAAGGCCATAGGAAATTAACCATTGTGTACAATGTTATTATTAGGAATTTTCCTAAAATTGAAATTTGAATATTGCCGTATACATTTTTAAATACATCGTTTGGCTACCCTACCAAATATTTTTGAGATCAGAAAAAAAATGATGTTAGCACTAAACGACCTAAGTGCTGACGTTCCCGAATATTAAAAATGGCATTTCCATCGCATTTATTTGATTACCGCATGTGATATTATTATCATGTACAGAGAGTATTTCAATAAAATGACAATACAAATATAGCCACAAAAATCTTAAAGGACATGGTCTCTTTGATTGAAAGTGTAATTTTTACTCAGTTTTGAAACATCGTTATCATGTACAGCCTATTTTGTGATCGCCATATAAGGAAAAAACGAAAATGAGATTTACAGGCGATTTCTGAATCGTTTAAAATTTGCCTCATCTCGTATCATCAGTTTCACCTATCGAACACATTATTTGGGACTAAATCAGAATCTCTCACTTTATCATCGACGGTCCTGGACCTATGCAACTGTATGTAGCACAACGCCACCGTTTCTAAGATTGTCGACGATATCCCCTCCGTTGAAGCAGACTTAAATAAAGCTATTTCAGACACACACACATACGCACTTTTCTAAGCCATATGAATTTTTAGTTATATGTGAGTAGGTAGGAAGTCCCCCAATATCTTGTTAGATGTATATAAGTACCCAAATACTTGCCTAAGTCATCGTCGTAATTACCAAGTCCCTTACACAATTTTAATTAGAAATTTTCAGACGAAATAATTAGTCTAATTCTACAGATTTTGGCGCTCGATTTGCATTCTACTTTCATCTATGGATACCCCGTGAAATCTGGAAAAGCTGATCAGAACTTCACGCGAGCATAAATACGGCGCTGACTTATTGTTTAGACATTAAGTTAATTCGGAATGTGTACATGAATCGATGTTGTAGATTTACTTCAGGTAGTTCACTCGAACGTGATTGCTAATACATCAGAAATGGAATATCTGGGCTTCCAAAGACACCCCACTAAACTCATTTAATTTAATTAAGTTAATGCTCGACCTGCTTCCAGGATAGCCATATCGTTATAGTGACCTTTAGTAAAATCAGGTAGACACTGACAAAAGGTTATGTAACGTCAAGTCGGTCACGTATGTATAGCTTGATTTTGTAAATATGATTTTGGTATATAATTTAAAGCAATAAGGACTATATCACGAACGCTGGGGCTCTAGTAGGCTTATGGTCCAATAATGGTTCAATTCCGCTTAGTATTTACAAAGATATGTGGAATTGGAATTTCATCAAACCATGCTGCTACCTGTCGTTGTCCACGAACAATTTAATGATAGACCCGTTTTAAATCCTATTGAAACCAAGCCAGGACATTATCTAGCGTTGGTATTTTGATTTTGTTTTCTTAATTAAATGTTAAATAATCAAGCTGAGTAGATATAAGCCGTGAGAAATTTGATATTTTAGCGACAAATGCCAAAGTAC